AATTGCTACTGTTGCCTAGTGACAGCTGCTCTGGGCCTTACATATGTTTGGGTAGCGTCTTTTTATTTGGAATGGATAAAATCTTTACGTATGTGTTTGTTTTTCATCCCTTAAAACGTTTTTCAATTGTAATTTTAGAAAGTTAGGAAGAGTGTATTTACTCAGTCTGATTTTAAAAACTTTAATGTTTACAGTTTGGTTGCTGATATGGTATGTAGGAAAGGTTCTATACCTACAAACAAAGAAAATATAATTGCCACCTTTCCTGTCTCGCATATCTGTTACTTAAACATCAGATGATACCCTTGGATTCGTCAGTATGCGAATAATAATGTTGGCCCACACCCGACACCCTCCAACAACCAGCTAGTATGTGATTCACTATTCAGTAAACACGTCTAACAATAAGGAAGTGAAATGCTGCTATTCATATACATGGAAATGACTCACTAAATTGTACAGTTGTAATGACGATTTGAATTACGATGGACGCAGTTTATCGCTTTTTCGGCCTCATGCGTTTTTGGATACGAAAGTAAACTAGTATTGCAAGACATCCACAAGTTAACAAATCCCAACGAATATCAAAATGGTCGTTCTCCATATTGTGAGGCCTCCAGAATGGACATGTGTAAACACGGTAGGCCCATTAAGGACCTTAAAGGACGTCTGTGTCTGAAATATGGATAAATAATTTATAATGTCACCAGAAGACTATTTCGGGAACATGAGTTTCGAATGACGGTTATTCATCCCGTGAAAGAATTTGAACTATTTCGAATGTTAACAGAAAGAGACACTCAGAGTGACAATGGAGACACATGACATGTATACACATGTGTCTAGTCACCCTGAAGCCTTGACTATCACTTACAGTGAAAGCAGCTGTTCATGTACTGAATATTTGTGTAGTACACTGTGGGTGTTCATTCTTCTCAGAGCGGAGGCTTCACACTCCACTGAACAGGGATGTGTACACATAAACTCACCTCGAGATCGGTAATATCAGAGTGTAGATACCGCTACACTGTGAACCATTGCAGACCCGTGTTCGTTTCTGTTACTCGGTGTCCTTTTACACTATCTAAAGCCCATTTCTGGTGTCCACCGCCATGATTTTGCTGGAATATTGCTAAAGGCGGCGTAAAGCCATACTCACTCACTCCTGAAGCTCTAGTTAAACTTCTTGACCTCATCTCTTTGCTTATATATGAGCAATCCAAGCGTCAACTTTAATAAACAATTGCACCAGCAAGAGATGGAGCATAATTAGTGCCAGCTGGGATGTCTACTTTTTGCATTTACTTGAATGTACCATCAGAGGACAGAATACGCCATGAGAGGGCGTGGTTCGAGTCCCGGGTAAACCCGACAAAAGTGCTAGAATCTGTACTTCATGGAGAAAGCGTAATCCGAACTATAACATCTGATATATCAGAACACATTTACTTCCTTTTTAACAACTTGTCCTGAATAATCAAATGGGGTTTTGGGTTTTTTTTGTTTTTTTTTGCATTCATTCCTCTTGTCACATATGCTCTCATTAAAATGTAAGGAATGTTTTAGGCTTGTGGTTAATCTTAGAGACGACGACATATGCTGGACCCCGCAGAATATTTCTCTGTCTGCAGATTTGCATGGAATCCAAGACAAAAGCGTAAATAAGCAGGAATCTACGTCGAATCATCGCTCTATGAGATAAACAAGATGTTGTTATCTAAAAGGTTGCATGTTTCATTATTCACACACCAAATTCTAGAATGCTCATCAAAACAGAAACTACAAAGTAAAATGGGCATGCCTTCAGATAGCAGAGTCAAGTGAAACGTTGAAAGTACCGATGCACGGTTTTGGGCACATTTCTTTCTCAGTTGACACACTGGCCTTATATATGGTATTAGTTGTGTCACTGATGTCAAATCATTTGATTAAACACTTATGTAGTTTCGATTACATGTGATGCTTTTATGTCAGTGGGAACAACTACCAAGGTTTGAGATAGTCGTTTCAGACTGTGGGTGTCAGCAACTTGGGACACAAATGGTAAATTCAAAATTTCTATCCTCTTTTCAGCTTACTTTGGTGTTTCTTTCAAACGGATGATTAATGATAGTAATGTTGAATACAGACCGTAATGCCGGTTACAGATAGTAATGCCGGTTACAGATAGTGATGCCGGTTACAGATAGTAATGCCGGTTACAGATAGTGATGCTGGTTACAGATAGTGAAGCTGGTTAAAGATAGTAATGCTGGTTACGGATAGTAATGCTGGTTACAGATAGTAATGCTGGTTACAGATATTGAAGCTAGTTACAGATAGTAATGCCGGTTACAGATTGTAATACCGGTTACAGATAGTAATGCCGGTTACAGATAGTGATGCTGGTTACAGATAGTGAAGCTGGTTAAAGATAGTAATGCTGGTTACGGATAGTAATGCTGGTTACAGATAGTGAAGCTAGTTACAGATAGTGAAGCTAGTTACAGATAGTAATGCTGGTTACAGATAGTAATGCTGGTTACAGATAGTAAAGCTGCTTACAGATAGTAATGCTGGTTACGGATAGTACTGGTTACGGATAGTAATGCTGGTTTCAGAGAGTAATGCTGGTTACAGAGAGTAATGCTGGTTACAGAGAATAATGCTGGTTACAGAGAGTAATGCTGGTTACAGAGAGTAATGCTGGTTGCGGATAGTAATGCTGGTTACAGAGAGTAATGCTGGTTGCGGATAGTAATGCTGGTTACAGATAGTAATGCTGGTTGCGGATAGTAATGTTGGTTACAGATAGTAATGCTGGTTGCGGATAGTAATGCTGGTTACAGAGAGTAATGCTGGTTACAGATAGTAATGCTGGTTACAGATAGTAAAGCTGGTTACAGATAGTAATGCTGGTTACGGATAGTACTGGTTACGGATAGTAATGCTGGTTTCAGAGAGTAATGCTGGTTACAGAGAGTAATGCTGGTTACAGATAGTAATGCTGGTTACAGAGAGTAATGCTGGTTACAGAGAGTAATGCTGGTTACAGAGAGTAATGCTGGTTACAGAGAGTAATGCTGTTACAGAGAGTAATGCTGGTTACAGAGAGTAATGCTGCTTACAGATAGTAATGCTGGTTACAGAGAGTAATGCTGGTTACAGAGAGTAATGCTGCTTACAGATAGTAATGCTGGTTACAGAGAGTAATGCTGGTTACAGATAGTAATGCTGGTTACAGATAGTAATGCTGGTTACAGAGAGTAATGCTGGTTACAGAGAGTGATGCTGGTTACAGAGAGTAATGCTGGTTACAGAGAGTAATGCTGGTTACAGAGAGTAATGCTGGTTACGGATAGTACTGGTTACGGATAGTAATGCTGGTTACAGATAGTAATGCTGGTTACAGAGAGTAATGCTGGTTACAGAGAGTAATGCTGGTTACAGAGAGTAATGCTGGTTACAGATAGTAATGCTGTTACAGAGAGTAATGCTGGTTACAGAGAGTAATGCTGGTTACAGAGAGTAATGCTGGTTACAGATAGTAATGCTGGTTACGGATAGTAATGCTGGTTACAGAGAGTAATGCTGGTTACAGATAGTAATGCTGTTACAGAGAGTAATGCTGGTTACAGATAGTAATGCTGGTTGCGGATAGTAATGCTGGTTCCAGATAGTAATGTTGATTACAGATAGTAATGTTGATTACAGATAGTAATATTGATCGCTGATAGTACTGTTGATATATTAGTGTTCATGACATATATGGGTACAGAATTGCCGTTCAAATCTGCATGCTCTTTTTCAGCTTCCAAGGCTTTCAGCAGGTTCATGATCACCACAAATATCTTTTTGCACATTCATTCTTTTTAGCCTTTCTAATAATAATAATGTGTCCATTTATATAGCGCCAAACTCCACACTAGGTATGCTCATAGCGCTAACAATCAAGGCACAGCACATTATTACCCCGGATAACCCAAGCTGTCTGTTAGGCGCTAGAAGGTTATAGTCGTATTACTTTTTCCACCGGGTACCCATTTTCCTGCTGGGTGAACAGTGACAATTTTGAACAAACTCACTTGCCTAAGGTGAGACCACATGTGTCACATGTGCTTCGTTGTGGGGCAGGACTCAAGTCCTAGATACTCTCAGGAGTCAAGCTGCCAAACACGGTCACCCATCCAAGGACTCTCCGACCTCGCCGCAGCTTAACTTCACCGATTTGTAACCTGAGCTTTGAGCACAGGACCACGCGCCACCATTCTAGTAACAGTGCATTCGAGATCTTTGAAACATTTCAAAAAGTGACGACACTAAAGATTATATGATCATCCGGTTGGTTGCAGTTGTTGAACATGAGCTTACACCATGAACTACCAATTCCATACGCCTATAGGAAGTTGGTTCATGTGGGTAATGTGGCGTTCGTACAGAAAGAAATGAAGGTGTTCCTGATTCCTGATATTTGAAATGGTGTGGACAACCAGAGAGTTTGTCTGAAAAGGTAGCTTAAGTTCAAAGCATAAATTCCTTTGTTTGCAAACTTCTAATTGAAGAATGGACTTAGCGGGGATTAGTTACTGTTTGTAGTCGGGTTTACCTCACACATCAGGCCCATTATTCTCGAAACGTTCGTAGCTCTAAGAATTCTTAACTTTGATCGTAGCCAATGTGTTAAAAATGGGCTTAAGAAGTTCGTAGGGCTTAAGAAGTTTCGAGAATAGCTAGCCCGGCCCACAAGCCATCTTCAAACTCTGAACAGCGTCAAACCCAACTCTCTCAATAGCCCTGTACACCATCCCTACCCTTCTCTCTCTCTCTCTCTCTCTCTCTCTCTCTCTCTCTCTCTCTCTCTCTCTCTCTCTCTCTCTCTCTCTCTCTCTCTCTCTCTCTCTCTCTCTCTCTCTCTCTCTCTCTCTCTCTCTCTCTCTCTCTCTCTCTCACTCTCATACTCACACACACCCACACACAAGTTAGACATTAGCATGGTTAAAAAGATAAATAGAAGTCCAATAGACATTAAAGTATCTTTAAATAGCGTACATTCAGATCTTTGATACATACATAAACAAATAAACCGAAAATGGGAAACTCTCCGGTTGGGATGGGCTGTGGAGATTGATGTTGTATTTGTGACGTAGGAGACACAGGCTAGAACAAAACATGTCCTTATCGTACATTGGTGTTCCACTACACACGCCAGTCCAATGTCAGATTGGACTTACAGGTACACTTGATGTTGTATTTTCAACACAAATTTCAAACTACATTGTAACGTGTCGCAGGGTCTAAGTACTGTTTCTTTCCTGATACGGCTAGACAGGTGAACCTGATCTTCATTCCTTCTTGTAAGCATGCACTCTGCAGACACTACGACTAAAAATGGAGAGCTCGTCCATGACCTTCACCTTGACTTTACCCACAGACAGGCTTCATGGCAACCATGTTCTCTGCGCATGTCAGAGGGAGTTGGATGACCTTGAGTAGAGCTTCACATATTCCTTTGCATGGGTTTATGCAGGCACCGAATGGAAGGAAGAGAATGTACCAGCCAGCCAGGAAGCCGGCGATGGGCCAGGCAGCGAACCAGAGGATGAGGAGCCAGAGGAAGCCCCACAGAAGACCTGGACATAATCCGGCCCTACCGCTTCCCTCTCCACTGCCATCACCACTTCCGTCTCCCTTTCCCATATCTTTGACTGAAATATACGGCGAATGAAGTTAATATGGCACAGCTAAAACATTTCATTGAGATGATGGGTTCAAATCTAAATCGCCGACCTTCAAACACTAGGAGACTGTAACAGTTTTCCATACATTGCATGTCCGGGTACAACAAGGTCAAAGTAAAACTTCCGAACAGATCTAAGGCGGACATGTGGAGGGCATATCTACATTTGGTGCATCGGTTTCACACTAAAATGATATCTGAAACAAATCATATTTAACTTTTAACACACGTCCCCGTCCAGATGAACAATTGACTAGCTGTTACATGTGTTTATTGATGCACCCAATGGGGCAGGATATGCTCACCTTATCGCGAATACCTGGTGTCATCACTATTTGATAGGGATTTAAAAACACACGCTCACAACATCGTCGAATTGCAACAGAGCCTGATCTTGGCAGAGACGTTTCACCCGCAATTCATTAGTGGCATCGAACTGCTTTCTGGGGCCAGTAATTATCTGGTCCTCCAATCCTGATGTCAGAAGGGTTTAACCCGTATCCAAGTGAGGTTTAGATTGCTTGGATGTAGCCTTCTTATGGATAACATTTATGGTCGATTCAACTGATTTTCAGCATTGGTGATGAACCGGAAGTCAATATCTATTTGTGGAAACGGTTTTTGTCACTTCTGTTTACGTTAGTTGCGACCTGACAGTGAGTTTCAATTTAACCTCATCAAATACACTACCCTGCTCTCTCAGGAAGCCGGTTCAGAGGACCGCATGTGCTTCACTTTTACATGTCCCCTGGATGGCTGGTTCTACGACAGAGCAAGACACGCTCATCCACGTTCACCGGCTTACAGTAATTCTTCATACGAAATGAGATGCTGACTATGATTGGTCGTTATAACTAGATACTCATCTGTGGTAATTACAAACCCAATGTTATTAGCAACTTTCACAGCTATCCGATGCAAATCCAATGAGGCACTGGAGAGATGTGTAGGTAGGGTTGTATAGAAATGTACTGCAGGTCGAGAGGGGTACTAAAGAAATATACTCCAGGTATGTTTCTGTCGTTTAAGGTACTATAGAAATATACTGCGGGTACGTTTCTGTCGTGTAAAGGTACTATATAAATATACTCCAGGTACATTTCTGTCGTGTAGGGTAATATAGAAATTTATTACCCACGTGGTCAACGTATGGGTAGTTGCATACTAATCTCGAACGTCACACGAGTGTCGTATCGCGTTGACATGTGTCGTAACGACTTGACCTGAGATTCTAACGATTTGATTGGATAACCGATGACCTCTCAATTACGTCACATTCTGACGTAACTATTTTTTCGTTCATAACAACCACGTGAATTCATTCATTCTGCAACTTAAATGCATTGTGGGAATGTAAACATTGCGAACGTTGCCGTGTTGCTGTTTAATTGTGAGACATTATATCCGTCGAAAAACATAAACGCAATGTTTCCACCAGTGATGTTATCCGAATGAAGCAACTGGAAACAAAGAAACGAGGTGCTACAGAGTAGTTTACTGTAGGAGGCTGTACGAGGCGATGACAACTGACATGCATCGTGACGTCGGTTACCAAGGCAGTGACGTCATTACAGTGTGACGTCATGCAAATATTGTACTACAGTACAAACTCTTCCGCAACCTCTTTATGAAACCGGTTTCGGTTTGAAACCAAAAACATAACAAAAATACGCTATTTTGTCAATTTAATGCATGTAAGACGTGGGTAATAAATAAAATACCACACTCGGTCTCATTACATACGAATTATACGAAACTCGTGACCTGCCCATTGGTATACTCCAGGTACGTTTCTGTCGTGTAGGGTACTATTGAAATATACTCCAGGTACGTTTCTGTCGTGTAGGCTACTATTGAAATATACTCCAGGTACGTTTCTGTCGTGTAGGGTGCTATAGAAGTATACTCCAGGTACGTTTCTGACATGTTGGGTACTAAAGAAGTTTATTACCCACGTGGTCAACGTATGGGTAGTTGCATACTAATCTCGTACGTCACACGTGTGTCGTATCGCGTTGACCTGTGTCGTAACGACTTGACCTGAGATTCTAACGGTTTGATTGGATAACCGATGACCTCTCAATTAGGTCACATTCTGACGTAACTATATTTTCATTCATAACAAACACGTGAATTCATTCATTCTACAACTTAAATGCATTGTGGGAATGTAAGCATCGAGAACGTTGCCGTGTCGCTGTTTAATTGTGAGTCGAACTGAGACATTATATCCGTCGAAAAACATAAACGCAATGTTTCCACCAGTGATGTTAGCCGAATGAAGCAACTGCAAACCAGGAAACGAGGTGCTACGGAGTAGTTTACTATAGGAGGCTGTTCGAGGCGATGACAGCTGACTTGCATCGAGACGTCGGTTACCAAGGCAGTGACGTCATTTTGGTGTGACGTCATGCAAATATTGTACTACAGTACAAAACTCTTCCTTAACCCCTTTATGAAACCGGTTTCGGTTTGAAACCAAAATATTAACAAAAATACGCTATTTTGTCAGTTTAATGCATGTAAGACGTGGTTAATAAATAATATACCACCTCGGTCTCATTACATACGATTATACGAAACTGTGACCTTCCTATGTTATCTGACCTCGCTTTCGCTCGGTCAGATACCACAGGAAGGACACTCGTTTCGTATAATTCGTATGTAATGAGACCTCGTGTAGTATTCTCTATATACTCCAGGTACGTTTCTGTCGTGTAGGATGCTATAGAAGTATACTCCAGGTACGTTTCTGACATGTTGGGTACTAAAGAAGTATACTCCAGGTACGTTTCTGTCGTGTAGGGTACTATTTGAATATACTACATGTACGTTTCTGTCGTGTAGGGTACTATTGAAATATACTCCAGGTACGTTTCTGTCGTGTAGGATGCTATAGAAGTATACTCCAGGTACGTTTCTGTCGTGTAGGGTACTATTGATATATACTCCAGGTACGTTTCTGTCGTGTAGGATGCTATAGAAGTATACTCCAGGTACGTTTCTGACATGTTGGGTACTATAGAAGTATACTCCAGGTACGTTTCTGTCGTGTAGGGTACTATAGAAATAAACTCCAGGTACGTTTCTGTCGTGTAGGATGCTATAGAAGCATACTCCAGGTACGTTTCTGTCGTGTAGGGTACTATTGAAATATACCCAGGTACGTTTCTGTCGTAGGCTACTATTGAAATATACCCAGGTACGTTTCTGTCGTGTAGGATGCTATAGAAGTATACTCCAGGTACGTTTCTGACATATTAGGTACTATAGAAGTATACTCCAGGTACGTTTCTGTCGTGTAGGGTACTATTGAAATATACTCCAGGTACGTTTCTGTCGTGTAGGGTACTATTGAAATATACTCCAGGTACGTTTCTGTCGTGTAGGATGCTATAGAAGTATACTCCAGGTACGTTTCTGACATGTTGGGTACTATAGCAGTATACCCCAGGTACGTTTCTGTCGTGTAGGGTACTATTGAAATATACTCCAGGTACGTTTCTGACATGTTGGGTACTATAGAAGAATACTCCAGGTACGTTTCTGTCGTATAGGGTACTATTGAAATATACTCCAGGTACGTTTCTGTCGTGAAGGATGCTATAGAAGTATACTCCAGGTACGTTTCTGTCACGTAGGGTGCTATTGAAATATACTCCAGGTACGTTTCTGTCGTGTAGGATGCTATAGATGTATACTCCAGGTACGTTTGACTGAAATATACTCCAGGTACGTTTTTGTCGTGTTGGGTACTATAGAAGTATACTCCAGGTACGTTTCTGTCGTGTAGGATGCTATAGAAGTATACTCCAGGTACGTTTCTGACATGTTGGGTACTATAGAAGTATACTCCAGGTACGTTTCTGTCGTGTAGGGTACCATAGAAATATACTCCAGGTACGTTTCTGTCGTGTAGGATGCTATAGAAGTATACTCCAGGTACGTTTCTGTCGTGTAGGGTACTATTGAAATATACTCCAGGTACGTTTCTGTCGTGTAGGCTACTATTGAAATATACTCCAGGTACGTTTCTGTCGTGTAGGATGCTATAGAAGTATACTCCAGGTACGTTTCTGACATGTTAGGTACTATAGAAGTATACTCCAGGTACGTTTCTGTCGTGTAGGGTACTATTGAAATATACTCCAGGTACGTTTCTGTCGTGTAGGGTACTATTGAAATATACTCCAGGTACGTTTCTGTCGTGTAGGATGCTATAGAAGTATACTCCAGGTACGTTTCTGACATGTTGGGTACTATAGCAGTATACCCCAGGTACGTTTCTGTCGTGTAGGGTACTATTGAAATATACTCCAGGTACGTTTCTGTCGTGAAGGATGCTATAGAAGTATACTCCAGGTACGTTTCTGTCACGTAGGGTGCTATTGAAATATACTCCAGGTACGTTTCTGTCGTGTAGGGTACTATTGAAATATACTCCAGGTACGTTTCTGTCGTGTTGGGTACTATAGAAGTATACTCCAGGTACGTTTCTGTCGTGTAGGGTACTATTGAAATATACTCCAGGTACGTTTCTGTCGTGTAGGGTACTATTGAAATATACTCCAGGTACGTTTCTGTCGTGTAGGATGCTATAGAAGTATACTCCAGGTACGTTTCTGACATGTTGGGTACTATAGCAGTATACCCCAGGTACGTTTCTGTCGTGTAGGGTACTATTGAAATATACTCCAGGTACGTTTCTGTCGTGAAGGATGCTATAGAAGTATACTCCAGGTACGTTTCTGTCACGTAGGGTGCTATTGAAATATACTCCAGGTACGTTTCTGTCGTGTAGGGTACTATTGAAATATACTCCAGGTACGTTTCTGTCGTGTTGGGTACTATAGAAGTATACTCCAGGTACGTTTCTGTCGTGTAGGGTACTATTGAAATATACTCCAGGTACGTTTCCGTCGTGTAGGGTGCTATAGCAATGTACCCTGGGTACGTTTCTGCACTTAGAAATGAAGCCTGGTTAAAAGCCAAACACTGACATGTACCTTAAACTAACGGTCAGCACGGTGACAATGTACAACGTTGCAACTCTTATACCAGAGAAGTCTACATAGGAACTATTGTATATCTATTGAATGCATTGTTCCTTGTGCATCTGGCCGTCACTGCTAACACGACGTCTATAGATCATGAGTGAGTTAATTTTAACGACGTCTTTTACGTCAGCGTGATACGTATAGAGATCCGGAAGTGGTGCATGTCTCAGAAACCTGGAAACACCATCAGGGCAAATCGAGATTCGAACCCAGGATTAGGTTACTGGCAGGCCTAAGGGAAACAACTCTTCATTTAGACGAGCAGTTCCCCTCCCATACCTTCCTCTCCAAAACCTCCCAATACAGCTTTTGTTTTTCAGCCACAAGAGATCAAACTGGTGCTCCTCAGTGCCATACTAGTCACAGAGGTCACGAATCATCTAATCGCTGTGACGATATAACACTGTTTGGCAGCTTGACTCCTGAGAGTTTCTAGGACTTCTGTAATGTCCAACAAAGAAGTGCCTGCGACACGTGGTCTCACTAATGGCACCTGGGTTTGTTCAATATTGCCTCTGTTTACCCAGCGGGAAATGGGTACCCGGTGGGATAAGTCATTTGCGTAGTAACGTTCTAGTTCCTCACAGACAGAATGGATTAACCGGGGTAACGATGCCCATTATGTTGTATGCTCTGATAGCATGCCCGCACTGTTTAGAGTTCTGCGCTATATATGCGCCCTAATCATAGAAGAGTAACCTGTTTTTTACGTATACCACGGTTATAATTTGTCAGTTAGTTTTCGTTCTTAGTCACATATATATTTGATGTGACTTGACTTTGACAAATGGAAACAGCTATAGGTTTGTACATTCCGTTTCGCGTCAATACATGAATGCGATTTCCATTCAACATTCGACAAATAAACGTGACTGACCCCTCAGTTGTATAGCTAACACTCATATGAAAGAAAGTACTGAAGTAATTGTTGTGATGTGCACGCTTCACTGAACCGATAGTGTACCGTACCTTCTGCAAGTCATCTCGGCAAGCACAAACCCGAGCAACACAAATATCTGTTATATATGTTTAAACACGAATTGTTTTATTAAAAAATATATTCTTTTTTAATGTGTTGCTAATTGTTCATTGAAAACATTTTCCATCGGAGAAGTTTCTCGGACCAGCTGGAACATCAGTGACTGCGGCGTTCAACGATATTCCATATATTTTCACTCTTAAAGGTATATCACAGGCAGCCAATAATCTATCATCATATTAGATGAAAAATAAAAGCGTTATTATTTAATTTTGGGAGATGTGGCGATTTGATTTTAATAAAAGCTATGGAGCGAAAAGTATATACATAAAACCTGGGCCTTACGTCACAACCATAACGTTATTATAACTTTAGATGCCAAAACACTGGGAATTTAGATAAAAACATAGTTATGACCTGTATTAAATACGTCAATTTCGAATAAATATTTTTGTGCATTTCAATTTTTGCCGCCATGAAACAACTGTGTATACTTTCTTTTGCTCCTGGGTATACTCCCTTCTTATATACTCATGCCAATAGTGGTTGTCACCCCCTCCCCAACCCAACCCCCACACCCCATCCCCACACCCCTCTCCAATAAAATATTTTGAAGGGAGTGACAACCATTATTGGCATGAGTATAACTAACAAGTGCTTTGTTTACCCATTACTCATCTGGATAATGTGTTCCTCTAATATTGTAAATTAAATACACGTATAAGTTTGTTCATGGGTTTACTTCTGTTTATAGATTTTGCTTCCCTTTAGTTTGCGTTGATACGTTATCTGTGGCAAGTATTAATCGCTATTACATGTAAAGTCATCACTGTAGGCACAATTAACGGAGCTGTATGTAATACTGTTTGTACAACAACTGTAGCAAATGCAAAAGAGAGAGAGATGGAGTGTAACTTACAGTATTAAGGCAGATCTTATCCGGCTGTCGATGAGCGTCTATGCTTCGGGAAGTGGCAGTCGCGCTGCAGTCGACAACATTCGCCACACAGGTATGTTTCTGTGTATATCGCCATAGCACCACCTTTGTTCTGTATTGTCCTCCCTTGGACCATTCCCCTTTGTGCACTTCACCCTAACATTGAATACCAATAAATACTACACAGGGTACTGAAATAAATGAAGGGTAGGTAACTGCTGGTGGGATGAATCATGGCTATTCACTGTGTAAGCAGGAAAGTGAATCAATGAGTAGGATTTTACGCCGCATCAGAGTGAGTGAGTGAGAGAGTGAGTGAGTGCGTGAGTTTAGTTTTACGCCGCTTTTAGCAATATTCCAGCAACATCATGGCAAGGGGACACCAGAAATGGGCTTCACATATTTTACCCATGTGGGAATCGAACCCGGATCTTCGGCGTGACGAGCGAACGCTTTAACCATTAGGCTACCCCATCGCCCCTACGCCGCATCAGAGCCTGAAAGACTATTTCCAGCTGTATTCTGTATAATGTGTGATACCGATACAGTGCCTGTGTGACAGGCATCATAAACTTTATCAAAGTATGATGATAGCAGACCATCCACCCAAGGCAAGCGAGTTCACAAGCCATTTGCGTACTCGTGAAGACCCGGGTTAGAATTCGTTTTCAGTAACACGTGCTTGTCGTAAGAGGTGACTAACGGGATCTGGTGGTCAGGCTCGCTGACTTGGTTGACACATGTCATCGTATCCCAAATGCCTAGATCGATGCTCATGATGTTGATCACCTGATTGTCTGGTCCAGATTCGATTATTTACCTCCATGTAGCTGGAATATTGGTGAGGACGGATGTTTAACAACAAATAAACATGCTATTGCCAAAGTAGGGTGGAACATCGCAGCATGGAAGGAAGCTGGATTGTTTCAGTCAGTTATCTCCCTTTACTCGGAAAGCTGGTATTGAGTTGATACTAAATTGGAATGTCGGTTTGCTCGAGACAAGTCACCTTTTTATAAATGCAGTGTTTTGTGACCTTGACCCAGGACAGGTCACGCTCATTCGTTTGACAACTGTAACGTTTGCATTGATTTTTGAATTCGTGAACCTTTGACTTTCTGATTATGAGATCCAAAAATGACCTCGCCACCCACACACCCTCACACCCACCCTACAGTTTCAACCCGCCATTTTTAGGCAGACTTTTTCTGTCCCTATTCAAAATTAGGGCCACCTACGAGACTCGATCTCTTCCCTTGGATGTACATGAGTGCAACAATTAGTTTTACTGTTCCATATTGCACATGTTGAAAGTTTTCTATGAACAAATATTTTTTTACCATTCGAGCTTAAGAACTGCAAGTGCCCGTCCTTGTAATCCGCAGGGATTATATTACAAATTATCTCCTGTGCTGAGCGGATAAGCGATGAAATGCCTAGAATGTGTCATTGCGAAACAAATTACATAACAACGTGGACAATATAAAGTCTTTAAATAACTTTTTGTTAGATCTTGGATCCAGCTTGATAAATATACACTCAGAAATATATACAATATATAAATACATCATGGGAACTGCTATGCGGTAAACTGTATGAGTTTATGATGGGGATGTGATGATAAGCTGGCTCCCTTCCCGTCTCCACAGCCTGAGATTCATCCCCTGGCGGATTCTGTTTGTGGATGGAGCCACGTGGCACGCTCCGTTGTCATGGAAACATCCAAAGAAGACTTTAAACACATTTCAAAGTGACCTTGTCATTCGACTGGGTTTTTTAAAGTTAATAACGGCAACGAACCCATATGCTTAAGGTTCATCAAATTGAACGCACATATATTTTTAAAAATGAACATTGTAATTGTTTCGAGAAGTAGGACACATCCCAGTCGTGGAGTCTGTCAGGAAAAAAAACATGAACTTGCTGACATCCCGCCTCAGCTGCAGCTGAGATGCAACCATTGAAGGATGACAGATCACGTTTGTTGGTCGAAAGGAAAGCTTATATTGCATGGGCAAGGGAAAGCCTGCTACAACATTAAATATCCGATGGTTCTCTCCATGTTTAACGAAAAAAATGTTAGCAATTTGGACATATGAGCGAGTGAGTATAGTTCTACGCCACCTTTAACAATGTCCACACATTGCACCCATATGGGGAATCGAACCTGGGTCTTGGTCTACACGAGCGAACACTACCCCTCCGGCCCCGGGACATATGAAGTTGAACATTATTGAAAGCACACATTTTATATCGACAGTATTAAAGTCAGTGATTCTTCACAGATAGTTATTTGTGGTTAACTCCAGCACGTTGTTTAACCTTTCTTTATATTCAGTTGTGAGAATCCTCGAGAACTCTTTTCAGAAGATTTTAACCTTCCGTGTCGGTGTCTAACTAGTCGGAAAGACGTTGGTTCTAGGGCCCTATTCCAGTCTGGTATCTTGGTGGAACTATCCGTTTTTCAGTTTAGCGTTGTTTCCTCCTCCCGGTTCCAGCAGTAGAAATTTCCATATATGGCTAAATACGTCATTCTAATCTTCATTCCTTCTAGTAAGCATGCACTCTGCAGACACTACGACTTAAGATGGAGAGCTCGTCCATGACCTTCACCTTGACTTTACCCACAGACAGGCTTCATGGCAATCATATTCTCTGCGCATGTCAGAGGGAGTTGGATGACCTTGAGTAGAGCTTCACATACTCCTTTACAGGGGTCAATACAGGCACTGAATGGAAGGAAGAGAATGTACCAGCCAGCCAGGAAGCCGGCGATTGGCCAGGCAGCGAACCAGAGGATGAGGAGCCAGAGGAAGCCCCACAGAAGTCCTGGACATAATCCACCCCTACCGCTTCCATCACCGCTCCCATCACCACTGCCGTCTCCCTTTCCCATGGCTTAGTCTGAAATGTAAGCATTTAATTAGAAAATACGTCTTCAAAATCCATTGAGCTTCGAGGAATACGATTTAGCTTTCCGAAATGTCTCAAGGATATAATGCTGAGACTGTCACTCAGGACAGATTATTTTTATTAAGACTTTTAGGTCATTTTATGTATCATTTTAACGTCTTATGTTTCAGCGAGAATGTAAGAGATAAAAAAAATAGAACATTTGCTGCACTTAGATCATAACATGTGTCATGTTAAACATTTGGATTAGATTCTCCAGATGGACTTGTATGTGAAGACCATTCCCTAGCCGTACGTTTTGCGAAGCGGACAACATATAGTTTGTGATGTAGACATGGTTTACAGCTTGATGACCAGCAAACACCTGGTGTCATCACTGATTTTCAGTGATCAGTTCATATGACTGACACAGACATTCTTTTCATTTAGACCAAAAGGACTTTGTTACTGAGCATAATTCCACATTAATTAAAAACTTGTAATGAATATGCATGTTTTACGGTTTGTCCAAGAATTCAACCAAAGAAATGCATTCTGGTTTCTGGGAAAACAAGTTCTTTTTGGTTACAAGGGATGTTGGTCTTGAAGATCAGATCCCAGAAAGATCACTTCTGTTGAAAACCTTGAACATTGACATGACCGTGGTTCATAGCTGGAAACACAACACTCAGCGGGTCCTGCTGACAACCTGGGGTTTATAATCGGGGTGATATGGGACACACTCAGCGGGTCCTGCTGACAGCCTGGGGTTCATAATCGGGGTGATATGGGACACACTCAGCGGGTCCTGCTGACAGCCTGGGATTTATAATCGGGGTGATATGGGACACACTCAGCGGGTCCTGCTGACAGCCTGGGGTTCATAATCGGGGTGATATGGGACACACTCAGAGGGTCCTGCTGACAGCCTGGGGTTTATAATCGGGGTGATATGGGACACACTCAGCGGGTCCTGCTGACAGCCTGGGGTTCATAATCGGGGTGATATGGGACACACTCAGAGGGTCCTGCTGACAGCCTGGGGTTTATAATCGGGGTGATATGGGACACACTCAGCGGGTCCTGCTGACAGCCTGTGGTTTATAATCGGGACGATATGGGACACACTCAGCGGGTCCTGCTGACAGCCTGGGGTTTATAATCGGGGTGATATGGGACACACTCAGCGGGTCCTGCTGACAGCCTGGGGTTCATAATCGGGGTGATATGGGACACACTCAGAGGGTCCTGCTGACAGCCTGGGGTTTATAATCGGGGTGATATGGGACACACTCAGCGGGTCCTGCTGACAGCCTGTGGTTTATAATCGGGACGATATGGGACACACTCAGCGGGTCCTGCTGACAGCCTGGGGTTTATAATCGATATGGGACACACTCAGGGTGATACTCCAACTGATAACAGATCCTGGAAGCGGTGGAAGGCTACGCAATGTAATTGAAGGTTGAATATGTGTCAAATCTATGCAAAATAAATGACATCAAACCACCAACAAGATCATTCTTATGATAATATACAGTATATTTGTATTTTTATAAATGTAGTTCACAGAAAGAAATGTATTTTCATAACGCATAGACTCACAATTATATAGAAGTATCTAGTCCGGAATGTAGGATGTCTTGACTAACAGTGTCTGGATTAAAGGGGTCTGGTGTATAAGATTGGGGTAGCTACACTACAGACGTCAGCGGTGGCAATGTGCCTGGGCAACTTTGTCAAGTAGTGTTTGCTCAAGGAGAATCTCAACCGGATACTTCGAGTACTACCTTGTTCGCCAAGAGAAGGTGTGTTTACTTAGTCATTGTGAAGAACAATCTGTATGACACACGTCTCGCTGAAATGGTCAGTATAACACTGTGGCTTTTATTTCTCAGCAAACATGGAATGCATGTGTTGTAGCGGGAGACAGTCAGTCGGGTAACTGGCCGTCAGCGTTGTAGTCGTAAAACAACAGTGTGTGTGAGAGTCATTACGTCGTCCTCAGTCACATGTCCTGACTCCTTTTATCTCTATCCTCAGTCCTCAGTCCTCAGTCCTCAGTCCTCATTCTTCTGTGCCCAGTCCTCAGTCCACCATTTTGTGGTCTCTGACCGGACCTCTTTCTTTAGTCCTCACTCAGTCCTCTGTCCTCTGTTTGGTGGTCTCTAAACAGCCCCTCTCTCCTTCATCCTCACTCCTCCTCCTCTGTTTGTTGGTCTCTAAACAGACCCTCTCTCCTTTATCACTCCTCGTCGTCAGTCCTCTGTGCCAGGCCTTCAGTCCTCGGTCCTTGTTCACAATCCCTTATATACAGTTATCTGCCTTCAGGTCTCTGTGGTCGTCAAGATATGACTGACTGACTGACTGACTGAGTTTGGTTTTACGCCGCTTTTAGCAATATTCCAGCAACATCACGGCGGGGAACGACAGAAATGGGCTTCACACATTGTACCCTTGTGGGGATTCGAACCCGGGTCTTCGGCGTGACGAGCCAACGCTTTAACCACTAGGCTACCCCACCGTCCCCGATATGGCTTAAATATTGCCGATTTGACGTAAAATTTGAACTAACTCACTCATGTCTCTGGCATCTCTCCTATGTCCTCAGTTCTCGGTCCTCGTCTACAGTCCACTGCCCTAAGTCCTTTCTTTTTAAGTCTCCGTCCTCAGTCCGTGCATATACACATTATTGTCACGCTTAATAAATCATGATATAAAAAACAAATGTCATGCAACTCATTGTGACTTCAGAGTTGACCTCAGTGTGAAGCTCATATTGAGACGATTACATCAGATGTATGTATGATGTTTGCAGCACAGGCTATAACTTCAAGCTTTGTTTTCCCACACAAGCAATATATTGTCAGCTCACACACTCAACTTCTATTTCGATGTCCCTGATGCCCAATCGATCACTTGATTGGCTGGTTTGTTTACAGGCTGCCGTTGCAGCAGAAATACTGTGAAGCGCCTGGCAAAAAGTTCTTCCATTTTGGGAGGAAAATTTTGTGAATGGGGCTGCCACCGATAGGGCAGGACATAATGACCTTCTTTGCGAACACCTGGTGTCATCACTGAAGTTGTGATCCATTCATATGATTTTCACATCTACTTTTGGAACTTAACACCAAGTCAAGGATAGTCAAAACTGGGTATTCCTTTGTACAGATATTCTATACTTAATAAGGTCAAAGGGGAGACGTTTCTCTCAGATAATTCCTTGTAATACACAGTGCCGACTTTGAACTCAAGAATTCAACATGCAGAAATAGTCAGTGTACACTGTAACCAAGGACAACGCGTAAATAAAGTACAACAATGCCATAAATATTGATCTTACTATCGCAGTCTGTGTTTGAAGACAACCAGCCATTAATATTGGTCGTAATTAGATTCTCGGCACAATCTCCTTCAAGCGGTTTGCTAACGTTTCCCGTACATCGCTGTCTGCAAAATGTATTTTTGTAATCCATGAAGGGTAAAATGGAATCAATTTCTAGCATTGTTTGTTTTTCATGGCTGTTAGTGGTGTTTTCTGGATGGTTGATCACCTCATTGCCTTATCTCAGGACATAGTTACCGCTGTTATTGTGTGCCACAAGAGTACATACGGTGTCGTCAACCTGTTCATAGCGGGGGCCAGTGCCGAGAGAGCGTTAATGAGATTGTACGGATGAAACACTTCTACCCCTCATACACCGTGTCGTATTGAGGGTGGTGTCTACAATGAAACCCTGTCAAACCGGATCTCCATATTCCAGACCATATTTCTATATACAGTCACAAATAAGGTGAGGTTCGACGTTGCTCACGGCGGTGTTACTCACTGTGATATAACCGGAACGCTGTTCAAAGCGGAATACAAACTGCCTCACTCACTCAAACACATTCCAAACGTGGCAAAACACACACGGACCACTGACATTCTAGCAAAGTTGAGACATCGGATGGGTCAACGCGTTCGACAGCTTGATTGATTGCGAGTATCGAGGGGTTCGCCCGCCTCCATTAACGTCAATGAACAAATGAAAGCGATAATCCACACTCATAAGTAGGATTATACGGATTATCAGATTATCTCACATGATTTCACTGCACAAAGTATCTAACATCTACTCAAACTTACGTGACTCAGGTACAGTTACATTGTATATTTGTATATGATCATAAAGTTACCGGGGCGGTGGGGTACCCAAATGATAAAAGCGTCCGCTCGTCACGCTAAAGACCCGGGTTCGATTCCCGACATGGGCACAATTTGGTGTTCCCCGACGTGATATTGCTGGAATATTGTTGAAAGCGGCGTAAAACCATACTCTCTCGGTAACTCACTCATAAAGTTCCGTCAAAATTGTAATGATCTGTAGTTGTTAAGATAACGCTGAAATATGTAGGAAGGAATATATGTGTACACACACACACACACACACACACACACACACACACACACACACACACACACACACACACACACACACACACAACACACACACACACGTGTATATGTGTGTATATATGTCCGATCTGACGGATTAACAGCGTGTGTGTGTGTGTTAGTGTGTAGCTTTCTTTATTAACATCCTTCGTGTTATACGTCCCCTCTGACCTCTAAGGATTAACGGAGTTTCAATATATATATTCTCCATCGATTTATTGGCCCCTAAGTGTATTTGACCAGTATCTCTGTCGCTAGGCGGCGTCTGTGTCCGGCTGATAACGTTGTTGGTGTATCAATATGTATGTCGATTCAACAATCCCTGTTTCTACCCGTGGCTCCGTGTTCACAGACGGACGAGCACAGCGTTGTCGTTCAGGGTCGTGATGATTAACAATGATTCACATTTCATTCTGTTAATTAATGGTTAGGTGTAAATCAATTCTGTCACAAAATGTTTTCACGACCGCATACAATAGTTCAGTTGAAAGCTATTTCGTTTAACAATGAATGTGTTTTATGAGTTTATATGCCAGTTTCCAAAGTTATAATTTTCTTTTGCTTTTTATCGGATAAGGAAGTTGCGACACTCTAGATTTGAGTACTGCACATAAAACAGGTCACTCCTAAAATATTTAAAATGTTGATATTAATTCATCACTTGACATAAATTGTCACTAAATCATATTGTCTGCCTTGTGTAACGACTGTATGACAACACGAAACGTTAAAACCACGTGAATCCTGCATGAAATATGTACCAAATGACCTGTTTAAATTCACACTGTGTTTAACTGACGGAATATGTTAATACGAATGAAATTATTCTTTAAAATAGAAAAACAAAGGTTTAATTTTGGCAATGCCTCGGCCCACATTTAACACAACTAACAACATATAGGCGTTGATGCCAAAACGTAAACAGAACATGTGCTATGATCCAATCGATGTTCATCGATCACTTTATGTACTTCTCTGCAGCAATATTACAGGCAGCTGGTGTGGTAATGAAAACAGGAATGAAACTATCTTACCGTGTTGTGGAATATTGAGACAGGAGGCAGGAGTGTCGTCGTTCACTCTCCAAGAGTGTAAGTGAGGCTCCAAGTGAACTCCTCGGCTCCTGTTGTGTGTGTTTCTGTGTACATCGTCATGGAGTCGATCTGTTCTCTAACGTCAAACATTGATCCAACGCCATTCATCACTACAAGCTCCTCCCCTCAGTCCTGAAGCTGGTGCGTGCACACCGTCAGTAGTACGGCTTTATATTGATACATACGAAGGCAGGTAACTGCTCAGTGAGCTGAATCACGCCTACGACCTGTCATTGGTTAGCTGGCATCACGTGTTTTTATTTAGGGAAATAAAGACACTGATATTGCAACGTCTTGTTAGTGACCTATCTCACATCTCGACCACGACACCTGAAGATGATCGCTCATTTATTATTGATATGCATCTCTTTGTCTCTACATTCGCCCGGTGGCCAAACACTAGAGCGTAAGTGGGAGTGAAGGGTCATTTATGCATATCTTCCGTTTGTATCGGTGGAGAGATACCTAATGGACCGATACGTATGATATATGCTATCCATGCTATATCATATATCAAGTGACGTACTTAATCGGCAAGGGGTGAGAGTTGGGGCATTTGACATTCTTAGAGGGGGTGAGGTGTGGGGTGGGGTTCGTCAACAAAAGTATCTGTTCCCGATAATACCGGAAAAACATGATTTGCCCTTGGGTTAAGGGTGTGAAAATTTACGTGGAGGGTTTTACTCCCTTGACATTCCACTTTTCGAAAACTTCAGATATGAGGAGACGGGGAAATTAGTATACTGTAACACCCACTCTGTGTGTCTGAGTGTGTGCGTGTGTGAGCGCGTGTGCGTGCGTATGCGTGTGCCTGTCTGTGTTTGTTGTTGTCCTGTTCTAGTGTAAAGTCAATGTACTCTCCTGGCGTTTCTTGTGGAACAGTGTAAAGTCGATGTCCTGTTCTATCGATACGTACAGAGCACAGTGTAAAGCCAATGTAACATCATATCAGCACTTGTAGAACATGAGGTGTATTCAATGTCCAGCTCTGCCGGTACTTGTAGAAAATTTAGTCAATGTAATATCTGTAGAACACCAGTTGTATTCAATGTCCAGCCCGATTGATACTTGTGGAACAAAGTATAAAGTCAATGTAATATCTTGTAGAACATAAGTTGTAGTCAATGTCCAGCCCGATCGGTACTTGCAGAACACAGTGTAAAGTCAATGTAATATCTTGTGGAACATAAGTTGTATTCAATGTCAAGCCCGGTCGGTACTTGCAGAACACAGTGTAAAGTCAATGTAATATCTTGTAGAACATAAGTTGTATTCAATGTCCAGCCCGGTCGGTACTTGTAGAACAAAATGTAAAGTCAATGTAATATCTTGTAGAACATAAGTTGTATTCAATGTCCAGCCCGGTCGGTACTTGTAGAACAAAATGTAAAGTCAATGTAACATCTTGTGGAACATAAGTTGTATTCAATGTCCAGCCCGATCGGTACTTGTAGAACACAGTGTAAAGTCAATGTAATATCTTGTAGAACATAAGTTGTATTCAATGTCAAGCCCGGTCGGTACTTGCAGAACACAGTGTAAAGTCAATGTAATATCTTGTAGAACATAAGTTGTATTCAATGTCCAGCCCGGTCGGTACTTGTAGAACAAAATGTAAAGTCAATGTAACATCTTGTGGAACATAAGTTGTATTCAATGTCCAGCCCGATCGGTACTTGTAGAACACAGTGTAAAGTCAATGTAATATCTTGTAGAACATAAGTTGTATTCGATGTCCAGCCCGGTCGGTAATTGTAGAACACAGTGTAAAGTCAATGTAATATCTTGTGGAACATAAGTTGTATTCAATGTCCAGCCCGGTCGGTACTTGTAGAACACAGTGTAAAGTCAATGTAATATCTTGTGGAACATAAGTTGTATTCAATGTCCAGCCCGGTCGGTAATTGTAGAACATGGTTTATAGTCCAGACCCAGCTGTTCTATGAATGTTCAGGTAATGTCTTATCATAAAGTCAACAAATGTTGGTTTTTTTATTGCTGGCTTGCCATAAAAATGAAGTGGTCGGGCTGCAAACCAGTAAGACGGCATACCACACCGCCCTGACGACTGGCTCAGATATATGGCGTGGAGTGAGCGGATTTTGTTTCGTTAAAACGGCCACAGTGTGCGTCAGCAGGCACAACATAATCTTGTCAGTCACTGAGATCGCCACTGGGGGAAGATTCATAAAGATTCACTGAAGAATCGGATAAAAAATTGGAACCATAAGAGTTACATAAAATCCCATGGAATATTGAACAGAATTATATAATATCCTATGGAATAACATGTATAATTTCATATTATTTGATGGAATAACAAACAGAATGACATGATATCCCATGGAATAACACGCAGAGAATGGCGTAATACCCCATGGTATACCATGCATAATTTAATATCAGACGGAGTACCATGCAGAATGGCTGAAGTTCCCTTGAAATATCATGTAGATTCACATAATACCCCATGGTATACCATGCATAATTCGATATCAGATGGAGTAACATGCAGAATTGCGTAGGTTCCCATGAAATAACATGTAGATTCACATAATACCCCATGGTATACCATGCATAATTTGATATCAGATGGAGTAACATGCAGAATTGCGTAGGTTCCCATGAAATAACATGTAGATTCACATAATACCCCATGGTATACCATGCATAATTCGATATCAGATGGAGTAACATGCAGAATTGCGTAGGTTCCCATGAAATAACATGTAGATTCACATAATACCCCATGGTATACCATGCATGATTTGATATCAGATGGAGTAACATGCAGAATTGCGTAGGTTCCCATGAAATAACATGTAGATTCACATAATACCCCATGGTATACCATGCATAATTTGATATCAGATGGAGTAACATGCAGAATGGCTGAAGTTCCCTTGAAATAACATGTAGATTCACATAATACCCCATGGTATACCATGCATAATTTGATATCAGATGGAGTAACATGCAGAATGGCTGAAGTTCCCTTGAAATAACATGTAGATTCACATAATACCCCATGGTATACCATGCATAATTTGATATCAGATGGAGTAACATGCAGAATGGCTGAAGTTCCCTTGAAATAACTTGTAGATTCACATAATACCCCATGGTATACCATGCATAATTTGATATCAGATGGAGTAACATGCAGAATGGCTTAAGTTCCCTTGAAATAACATGTAGATTCACATAATACCCCATGGTATACCATGCATAATTTGATATCAGATGGAGTAACATGCAGAATGGCTTAAGTTCCCTTGAAATAACATGTAGATTCACATAATACCCCATGGTATACCATGCATAATTTAATATCAGACGGAGTACCATGCAGAATGGCTTAAGTTCCCTTGAAATAACATGTAGATTCACATAATACCCCATGGTATACCATGCATAATTTGATATCAGATGGAGTAACATGCAGAATGGCTTAAGTTCCCTTGAAATAACATGTAGATTCACATAATACCCCATGGTATACCATGCATAATTTGATATCAGATGGAGTAACATGCAGAATGGCTTAAGTTCCCTTGAAATAACATGTAGATTCACATAATACCCCATGGTATACCATGCATAATTTGATATCAGATGGAGTAACATGCAGAATGGCTTAAGTTCCCTTGAAATAACTTGTAGATTCACATTATACCTTATGGTGTAGCATGCATAATTACATAATTTCCCATAGAATATCATCCCAAATGACTTAAAATCCTATGGTTTAACATGCGGATTTCATATTATCTAATAGAGTGAGTGAGTGAGATTTGGGTTTTACGCCGCCTTTAGCAATATTCCAGCAACATCACGGCGGGGGACACCAGAATTATCTAATAGTATAACATGCAGATTGACATAATATCACATGGAATAACATTCAGAATACCATTGTAAAATACAATATGGGTAATGAACTGTATGTATTGTTAAGGTGTACATATTTCTTAAACGTTTTTCGTTACTTGTGAACAGCAGAATTTCTGCATTTGGACACAATCAATGTTATTCGAAATGAACATATCATTATAATTTCAACAAAATTAGTAAAATTACTATCGTTTGTCTGGATTTCTGGTCCATTACTTGATTGTCTGGCTTGTTCACACGTCACCGGGGGCGATGGGGTTGGGTAGTGGTTAAAGCGTCCGCTCGTTACGCTAAAAGTCCGGGTTTGATTCCCCGACATGGGTACAATGTGTGAAGCCAACTTCTGATGTCCCCCGCCGTGATATTGCAGGAATTTTGCTAAAAGCGGCGTAGACCCATACTCACTCTCTCTCTCAGGGCTACTGCTGTTGGGAGACAGGCAACAAATGCAAATTTTGTGAAGGGCAGATGCTGACGCATGAGGATCACAGATTTACCCAGTCCGCTTAGACCGTGTGTCATTACTGACTTTCAGTAAACCATTTATACACTTTTCACAGCAGGGCCCGTTTCACAAAGCCGTCGTACTTCCTTCCCTGCAACATAGACTTACGACAGTCGTATCGCTACGACAGCTTTGTGAAACGGGGCCCTGTTTGGCACTTGTGGACAATGGAATGTATATCATTGGCTTATCGAGACACGTTATGTTATTCTCTGACGTTGTCATTCTGTATCAACAGACATTACAAGAAGTCTGTCTTCTGTCTTTTAAAATATAAGATTAAAACATTAAGGAGTATCACACATATGAAACACGTAAGGAAAAAGAAAGAAATTTATAGGGATGATAGCTTACGCCGATACATACGGCTAACTAAAGCGGCCAGTGGATTAACAATAATTTCTGTTTGTAAGAAGAATGTAGCTTGTTCGGTGTTTGATAACTGAGCAAAATTTGGGTGTAAGATACTGTGTATTACTGTAAAGGTTACATAACGCCCAGCTGTAGTAATTGTTCCATTTCACAGGATATACGTGATTTATACAGTGTGACCATGGATCATTTAGTGCGACACACTGCACGTTCATGTTCATCTTGTTGGCAAAGTTACAGAGGTAGTCCTCTTATACATACGTTCGCTTCCAACGCAGAAAACCTGGGTTCGATGTATTTCATTGTTTCAACGTCTCAATCCATCATTTAGGGTAATGACGTCTCAGATACGTTGCTAATAGCGGTGAAAAACTATATTCATTCACATATATCATATAGATGGAAAATACTGATTTTTTTATACTTCCATTGTTTTATCGATGAAGTTATTTCGAGTCCGTATTTGTTGTTTTTTTACTCTTTGACAAAGAATAAAAAAATAACTACTTGTAGCAACAAGACACTGGTTTAAGTCCGCAGATAGTTGATGAAACTAGTATATAAGAACATTGTCATGTAACAAATAGTAGAAAGGATATTGATGCATTGTCGCCCCTACAAAAACAGGTAGATAATAGCGACAAAACACTTTCCACATTCATAAGAAATCTCTGCTTAAATCAGAGTCGATTGTACAATTGTGACTATATCATGAAGATATAATTGTTTCAGCAGTATTACAGCTGTATGATGTTGTTTGCAAACAAATCGAGTCTGGACCAGACAATCCAGTGATTGTCACCATGTGATACGATGGCAGAGCATGTGTTTATAAATCATGATGAAATAGAGATGATTGATGACACCAGGTTTCGAGAAAACAGTGGCACAATTACCAAAGCTCACAAACATGACGACGCAACATTTCAACACGATCAGAAGATATCTATCAATGATCAGCAATCTAAGACAATTAGCATTCATTAAATACTTTACCTGACAGAAGCGAGGTTATTGATGAGCGGATGAAATAAAATAATCACATCCATACAAAAACAATATTTTCAAAACAAAAACAGAAAAATTATCCATTAAAGTCCCAACAGAACCCCTGAGTCGCAAACAGAGGTAAGTTAGCCGAAATAGCAAAGGCTGAGGTCGACATCTTACATTCTGAAAGCGACATGGAAATAAAAATGGCGAAGGCGCAAGTGCAGGTTACATTCATAGACGTTGTAAGAAGCAGACGACATTTTATCCTTCGAAAACTTCAGATTTGACGCTCACTTGAATGACATCACCAACACAGATCACGTTGCGGAACTTCCTCATGCACAACAGACCGTCCCATTTATACGTAACGGAGGTGACTAAAATGGCGTTATACCGCACGTCAGCACACAAATGTCATGTAATACTGTTTCGCCGTCCATATTTTATTCAACAGCAGTGACATGAATGAAACACATCCCTACAACGTGTTCGACGTTAATTGCACTGTTGCAGACTATTAACATATGCAAATTAGGTTACGTGACTACATAATCCCATGATCTATGAACTCCTCATTCTTGTCCTTGAGTACCGACAAAGTCGCCATTCATGTAATCTCGAGGCTACCTACAAAGTAGGTAAAAGGGTTAAAAGACTTAATTAGTACCAAAAGAGCGTCACAGATTTTTGCCAAATTTGTGTGACTGTTGCTTTGCGGGCCCATAACAGCCGTGACCCTGACGGACAGTTGCTCATCGTGTTAATCACTGGTTGTCTGGACCACGAGACTTTCAGTCCGCCTTCATACAGATGGACTTTTGCTGCGTGCGCCAATACATAGTCAACAAAATAAACAAGAAAAGAAAAACGAGCGAACTGGTTGTGAGTTCCCAAGTCTGGGACATTCGTGACTGTCAATCAGGATCTCCTGAATGAATAAAGCTTCTATGATACAGGGCTGTGTTTGTTTATGAGTCAATGTGATTTATAAGAACATATGCATATTTAATTAAACAGTACTTTAACAGTCGTATATCCGTTAGGTCAAATTGATCTTAGAATGACAAATACCAATTGCGAATAATATTCCAAATGACCAAACGACTCTATACCGCTTCGTTGGTTTTTCAAAAATTATTTTTGATTTCCAACTGAAAATTTCTTAGATAACCGAAACTGTAATCCCTGACAAAATAAACGCACACGGTTTAATTTCGGAAAATATAATCTGATTTAAAACTTTTCCTTTTTAATTTGATGCACATCTTTGACTTTCATAAATAAATAAACATCAATAAATGTTCTTCTTTGGAAGAGGGAGAAGAACACAAACAGACATTTCAAAACAATATTGTTGTGGTCAGGACCTGGTTTAACCAAGTCTGTATTGAACCAATCTAGTTTTCCACGAAAGTACCCAGCCACAGATTACTTTATACAAACTGTTACATAAATGTCTTATGGTGAGTGAGTGTCTTTAATTCCTCTCTGATAAATAGGAAATATAATGAAGTAAGCTTAAATCGTTTAATTGAATTTCAGTAAATGTTCTTTCAAATTTAAATTGAATAAAAACAAACTGGGTATACTTCTTTTGCCGGTCGGTTTAATTTCAGAGTAATGCTATGTTGTTTCAGTTGAGTGACTGTGTTATGCTTCCCTGCACACAGGTAGCAGCTGTTCCACACTTAAATCACAAGTTGCTACAAATCAAAACAAATTAACCTCCACCACTCATATCATATACCGCCCTTCCAACTGATCTGGTGCGGGGAAGAGCTAGTTTACCTTGTTATTGCTACAGTATTTGTGTTTTTTAAGGCAAATAGATTGTGCGCGTGCATTCAGTTCTGGACTGAATGAACCAACAGATTCTGTATCGGTTTGACTGTCAGCGGAAGCTTGCAGAAGCTAATTATTGTCTCCAGTGATGACATCACTTAAAATCACATATTGACTCAGTTGATGAACTACGGGTTAAGTCCCGTAGGTCCGACCTTTGGAAGGGTGTAAAAACAAACTGGTCGGTTTGCAGGGGTGTATCTTTAAGGTCGACTGGTTCTAGACAATGGGCAGTGAATGTTTTTACAACGGTAGGGTTAATGCTAAAATGTTCACCGGAAAATATTCATGCTGTAAAATGTATTTTTTATTCAAACATTCATTGGTCATTGGGACGGTAATTTCTATTGTCTACATAATAAATAATACACATTCATAAAACATAATATATACATGAAAGGTTTATAGCACTAAAATCAGCAACTTTAAATAACATAACATACAATAGCACTACAAATGACCATTTCCTTATGAATTAAATTAAAAAATACAAATCAAATGGTGAAAGCAAAATATACAGGCAACACAGATATACCAGAACCACGAATCACGAGCTCAATAACTTCACACAATAGTAGGCGTTGTCCAGGTACTCCATCAATGTCAGGTCGTTATTTGCAAGCCTTACCTTCAAGGTATCTAGTCGTTCCTCCAAATCTCTGTACTTCTTTTTTTGGGGCCAGTCTTTGACCGGCATTGTACTGAAGAATCTTTGCCTCGTTCCGTCCTTGTTCACCTGCCAAGAACTTGGCCTTCTCGAGAAAGTTGGGGTGACAGGCCGGGAAAGCCACATTTCAAAAATAACTATGGCCGGGAAGGGAACGTTTCAATTACAAGGCTGTAGCCGCCAAAGCCACATTTCCAATACATAATTGGCGGGGACCTGTGTGGAACAACTTATTAGTTGTCAAAACAAAGAGTTCATCTGCTACTGTGAGTAGAAGGTGACTGCTGATGCTATAAGCAAAGGGATATCATCAGAATACAAAGTGAGTGTTTGATTACCATTTATTGTTTGTGTAAAAAATTATCTTTAAGTTTAATGTTGTGAGCAGCTAGTCTGCTTTCTCAGTTTGTTGAGGAGGAAGTTTGTGTAATAATGTATCTTTATTTTTAATTGTGTATTTATCCTTTCTTGTAATTCTGCTATAAGAAAACTTCTGAGTGAATGTTGGTCATATCAGCCATGACTCTAAAGGGAGAGGATTATTCCTGGTAGGAAAAATGGACTTGATATTTTGATGGAGGGTTTTAGGCACAACAAGAAGAATATGAACAGAAGCCAATCCACGTAATGAATCTTCTTGATTAATCTTCCTGTTAACAAGAACTAAGATTCTTCAATGTTTTTACTGGTAACTGACCCTGGGTGACATGCAATCAATTAAAATCACACCATAAACGGTGATCAGTAAACACACGCTTACAACTCTTTTTACAAGAGATCAAAGGTCCGTTTAGATTTTTAATCCGTCAGCACATCATGTTTTTTTCACATGTTGTTTAAAAGATCAAACATCAATTTAAACATTTAAGCTGTCATCATGTGTGATTTCTTCACGATTAAAAAAGATCTTTGATTTCAATCTTGTCAAATAGATAACTAAATCAATTTTTACTACAAAAAGACTTTTTACCGGTACTTTTTTAACGATGACTTTTTTCATATAATCATTCAAAATGTGTGATAGTGTTTCAAAAAGTGTTTTATTAAAAGCGACGTTTATTTTTCACTGTGACTTATGTCACTTACTTACTTTTTTCTGTAATTATTTCATTCCTTCAAAACGTTCTAAAAATGAATTAGCATAAAGGTATTTAACAAAGGGTGAATATTGTAATCCCAAATCATCGTGATGCATGATCGAAAAAAATAGATACGTTTCAGCATATGGTTTACATTAATTGAAATGTGTTTCTGTGAGTGAGATCGTTTTGTATTTTAATCACCTATCAGCTTTACAAGCGATACTGGCGATAGTTAGCAGAGTTTGTGCAGAGTCCTTATCCTACCGCCACCATCCATTGCCAACCTGTCTACCTCTGTGCGAACCCATACTTTGCCCATCGTCAGGTGCAGCACTCACCCCCACTGCCCACGTCCTGCCCCCTCTCCCAGACTCTGCTTCCACAAACCCATTATTGCCCCTCGCCGACTGCAGCCCTCGTCATCAACTGCCCACCCCTGTCTACTTCTGCCAGGCTGCCCCCTCCCCACTAATATCTGCCAGGCTCTCACCCTCCTCATCACATGATGCAAGTGGCTAATCACACCTCTCGGCAATAAATAGGAAGACTAACGGTTTTCTTGCATCAGTCACACATTGTCTGTTAGAGATGGACCTGCCCTCAACTTCATCAGTGAGTACCCTATTGCTCTCAGTATCCCTGTTTAAATCATAACTAAACACATCCAAACAAAAATACACACGTATCGTAAATATACTCTATGTGTTTTCTACACCACTGGTATTATGAAATTAGACAGAAGGTAAAAGTATGTGTCGCAAGTAAAACCTTACAACAATGAGCTTGACGAAGAATTAGTAGAGTATTTGTGATCAATCAGGATGAATTGTTTTTCGTCTTATCTTTGTAAATAACTGATCGCGTCAATGTCCTACAGCCAGAAATGCACCTAATAACCTTATCTTCTTGATATTTTGATAGGATGGGAGAATATGTAACCCACTTTATCGAAAGAATTATTCTGTAGAATACTTTATATGGTGCGGGTATAAGGATCTATACTGGACAAAAATAGTTAGGGATAAATGTAAATTTTGAAATTATGAATAAATATCTATTCATTCATTGACACACTGATTAAATATCAATCATAAAAATACCAATATCCCTAACTTGTCCAGTATACATCGGAACGCCGCTCTATGCAATAAACAAGAGGTTTTCAAAGGTGTACATTACGGTGTCCTCCCATTTGCGAGAAATCCCAGTTGTGAGACACATTAATTAATGGTTCAGTGCACACAGGTGGTGCTTCCCCATCCCTACGATGAAAGTGTGAAAAGCCCTGTTGCTGAAGAGTACCCACAGGAGGCATTGTTCATTAATGAGTTAATTAACACAGAAGACATTGTTCGTTGAAGAGCATTTATTGTTTTCAATAGATACTGAAATACTGAAAAAGATTATCGTGAACTGGTGATATATTCTACTTGTTGAAGGCCTGCCATAATGGTTATCGGAAAGAGCAGTCAAAGGTTAATAAATACATTTGGATTAATTATAGTTACAACAGTTATTGCTAGATTTTTCAAACACGTAGGTAAATTAATTTCTCTTTCAAATGATCACGAAGTTACCTACACAAAGTGTTTGTTTTTAAAGCCATTTATCTCGTAGGTTAATTACTCTATCTTTTAGAGTTTCATTAAGTTACCTCCACAAGAATCAGTTAAATAGCTAATCCATTATTAGCTGGGGTTAATCCATTCTATCAGATGTTTTCTTTGCTAAATACCTACTCCACTGTCTCACAACTGGGTGTCTCACAACTGGGAGTTCTCACAAATGGGAGTAGACCTAAATTACACATATTCAAGTTTATTAACTACTTCATTTTCATTTTCCCCATTAGGCACAACATCACTATGTACACAGACAACCCGCGAAACGCTCCCTGGAGGACGAAGTCACTGCGACCCATCAAACATCAAGAGTTACCTCCCCACCACCGTCTAAGCGCCCCCGCTTGATGGCTGACAGTCAGGTTCGCCGAAGCTACCAGCGTTACCCCAAGCCACCGTATACATACCTAGGCATGATCGTCGTGGCCATTGAGACGTCTCCCACGAAGCAGTTGACGTTGTCCGGCGTGCAGGATGCACTGTGCGCTATGTTCCCGTTCTTCAAGGGGTCCTATGTGGGATGGCGACACTCTGTTCGACACTTCCTGTCTAGTTCACCATGTTTTATCAAGCTGAGCCGTAAGCAGACGGAAAAAGGGTCAAAAGGTTGCCTCTGGACAGTTAACCTTTCTTTGGTTCCAAAAGACGCCTTCAAAAGACTCAAGGTCCCGCCTCACAAGGAGAAGGTGTGGGCGTCAACTCTCACTGAGCAGCTTCGGATGCCAGCCATCACCCACCAGAACACGCCGCCGCCGCAAACAGGGGAGACTACTCCTGACCTAGCATCACCGGCTAGTCTCCGCTACACAGAAGCCCAGTACACCCGCTACCTGAGACATCAGACGCCAGGTCATGCAAAGGTTCCCCTGAACCAGTATCCATCCTTCGCCTCGCTGCTGTATCACGCCCCCACATCCGGGGACTACACAGACGCCGCTGTCAACCTCCACCAGCTGTGTCCGGAACCTGACTACGGCAGTCCTGTCCGAGCTGAGAGAGAATGGACAACGAAGCCTATCACCCCAACGCTCAACACCCAACCCGCTCTTCTTCTTGAGTCGCCTCTTTCGCTCCCAGAAAGCAATGCAACGACACAGGATCCTGGCAATGAAGATGATTCTGCTAACCTCCCCGACCCGTGTCTTCATCTAGATTACAACAGACCTGTGAGAGCTGGTAACAACTGGAACCCTCCACTTCCGACCAGTTGTGATCTGCATTCTCTAAGCAGCAGAACATTAGAACTAGAACCACCGAACGAAGCGGCCGCCTTCCTGCAGCATTTCGTCAACAGCCTCGTCGAGTCCAACAATCCCCAGAGCGACATAACCCCAAACATCACCTCCCTACAACAATGTTCGACTGGCCCGAGATATATCGCATCCAAAACTCCCAGGGACATTTGTTCAGATCCAAGCTCAACCACCCTGGAACAAGACAAGTCTCTGCAGCAGACGACTTCCGGTGTGTCGCGTGACGTTCACTTGCATCCTCCAGCCATTGCTGATATTATGTTATGTTCCACACCTCTGTCCGGGGATATATCCGTCGCTGACGATGTTGCAACAGACAATGATATATCCATTCTCTCCTTCCATGAAATAGGGTTACTATCCCCTGGTGGCATCAACGTGGACAACAGTCTGTGATGTATACACTGCATAAGCCGTCATCTTCATGACACCGGTAACCATTGTTGTTTTGTTTGTGCTATTAGTAAAATGTTGTTTCCGATACACTGATTCCAATACATATCATGCCAAATGTGTGTTGTTGTTTTATTTATACACGGCCTGATACCAAATATTTGATCTCGTAGTTTGCTGCAAACAAAGATCACTTCTTCAACCGAGGGAGGGGTGGGATTATTGGCATAGAAATTAGCATTATAGGCGAAACCTCCCGGCCCATAAATATCAGAATCAAAGAACACTTATCATCTACCACTAAATCTGACAGAAAAATCAGCACTATCAGACCACATCATCAACTGTCCCAATCACAACATAATTTGGGACAATTCCGGAGACACAAGCCCTCAATCAACAGAGACCAGGGATATCTCATCCCTTCTGCATACAATGAACTGATAAAAACAACAGATTAGAGCACTCCAGCTATCATTTCTAATTAATCTCATCAGCCATGTATATTTTGTTTCTGCCTCTAGGACAACTGGCTTCCTCCTATTGTCCTATATTATTACCACCGTGCCTTGTTGTTGTTAATCCCCTTGATTCATACCTACATGTATGAACTTATATATGTTCATGTATATAAGTCTGTTCTGTGCTGTAGTACCTCACTCTTATAAGAATCCATACCGAAACGTCGCATCATATATAATAAAAGAAGTTGTTATTCATAAACAATCTTACTTTCATACAGCTGGATATTGCAGAGTGTGGGCGTTAAACAACAACCCCAAAAGTACTAGAATCTGTACTTTACTAAGAAAGTGTAATCCCAAATATAACATATGTTACATTTGACCACTTTCTAAAATGGCATTGTGTGTTTCATAAAAACGAAAGAATTGGTCTCCAGCAACATGTCGTAAGATGCAAGTTATCGTATCCTAATAGCTGGATGTTCATGGCACCCATCACAAATTCTGGAACGATTACACATTTACTACAATAACACTGACAGACAAACCTGGGGCCTTTATACAAAAGACCACAACATACCCGTTGTCGTGTATGTTCAGGTAGTTGAAAAAGAATCTACTTCCTTCTTAATACACCGCAAAGGTAACCGGAGAGCGCCATGGCCGCGTAAACCAGTACATCATATCACGTAACTAGTCGATAATAAAAATGTAGTTGGTGAATCCATGAATGTTAAAAATTAGACTATGTTTAACGCCTTAACGCCGTACATAGCAACATGCCAGTTATATGACGGCGGTCGCTGGTCACGGTCATTACGAATGTCACCAACTGCACAGCGCATAAACAACACACAATTCAACATTGATCTTTGTGCTGCCTCGTTTAGTACGACTGACTGACTGAGTTTGGTTTTACGCCGCTTTTAGCAATATTCCAGCAACATCACGGCGGGGGACACCAGAAATGGGCTTCACACAATGTACACATGTTGGGATTCGAACCCGGGTCTTCGGCGTGACGAGCCAACGCTTTAACCACTAGGCTACCCCACCGCCCCGTTACGAGCATGAAATATGACATCGTTAAACTTCGGAACCAGATGGCTTATTATAGGTAGAAGCACCAAAGAAACACTAGGCGGGTTAATCAATATACCTTATCACGATTCGTGATATTTGTAGTTCAGGGGCGGTGGGGTAGCCTAGTGGTTAAAGCGTTGGCTCGTCACGCCGAAGACCCGGGTTCGATTCCCCGCATGGGCAAAATGTGTTAAGCCCATTTCTGGTGTCCCCCGCCGTGATATTGCTGGAATATTGCTAAAAGCGGCGTAAAACTAAACTCAGTCAGTCAGTCAGTAGTTCAACTCAATGATTACATATATAATCAGGCACATTAAGTTGGTTTTCACACCTATGCGACATACGCATTGGTGTTGGCGGTCATTAACGTATCTCATATCCGTCCCCCCGTGTCAGTCGATGTGAGGTATTGGTTGCAGCTAGGACAACGTGGCCGACAGCGACGTCACATCAGCACTCTCCAACAAAGTGGTCATCGGTACGGATATTCCCAATTGTCATTTAGTATGATAACTTGGGTGTCCCCCGCGAAGCACCGGGTTAGAAATGTTTTCAGTAACCCATGATTTTCCTTTGAGACGACTATAGGGATGTATTGCTATTGCCTAGTGATGCATTCACCTGTAAACAAACCCACCAACAAAACGCCTCTGCGGTATGTGTTATGGCTATTGCCTTGGACAAAAGGACGTGTAATATTGTAATTTAGTCAATACGGTAATAATGGTTGGTAGGTGTGTTGCTTAACGCTGCACTCAGCAATATTCCATCTATATGGCTGAGGTCTGTACATAAACGAATCTGGACCAGGCAATTCAGTGATCAACATCATGAGCATCGATCTACACAATTGGGATACGATGGCGTGTGTCAACCAAATCAGCGAGCCTGACCACCCATCGCCTCTTCCGACAAGCATGGTTTGCTGAAGATCATTTCTAACCCGGATCTTCCCGTGTCAGTAAGAATAAGTTCACATGTAGGAACACACGTAGGAATCGAATCGGGGTGACGTGGCGAACACCTCAACCACTAGGCCACCTGCATGTATTAGTGTGCGGTATTAATCCATATACAACCGTGCAATGAACCCAAGGAACACGTGATTTACAACATGCTCCGATCAGTAAATATCGACCGCGAAGTAAGGTTTATAAATACCGATTATTATTCCAATCCGATTACCTTTCTTCAGTGGCCCAGCAGTGCATTAAACATGAGCTCTCTTTGTGGGTTAGCCGGTTATGTAATTGCTTGTTTACAAAACAACATACTGCGTTGTTAGGCGTCCGCCTTGGAATACGATCGCCCCATAGACTGTTCTGATTGTGACGCGCTTACAGAGCCCGACTCCCCCGAGGGTTGCTTGTGCACGAGCTCTTTCCCGCCATATGAACCTACTGCAACCTTGCATATCGTATTGCAGGTATCTCATACCGACCCCATGAGAGGTGCTACTTTTAAGCGAGACCAACTTCGCGTTTTTACATGTGAATTGTTAGACCTGCTTATACTTAAATTGTAAAACATGCTTCGAGATATGACGTTCAAATTGTTGTAAAATCTGCTTTAAAGTTAACTAAATTGTAAGTTCCATGGTTTACTGTAGGTTTTCATAAACACTCCTTTCAAGGTAATTCTAATGTTGCTTTCTGATTGTGAAAGGTCATGTTTATTTCATGATAAGAATCGAACCTGCGATCTCAGGTATCGTGTTTAAATTAGTTGGCAGGTGTTGAAACGATGTTTCCCTCCTACGCTTCCATCCAATGTCTTTTTTTATACCGGCACAGACTGTATTGTTTCACTATAAAGTACCCGAATGTATTGCTTGTTTTTAGACGGTTCATAAGTAGGATACCATACGACCCCTAGGTTTTGGTTGAACAATGTAAAAGTGTTTAAAGATGTCACGGCTCAGGCGTTTCCACGTGAAACCCTCAAACTCTTGTACAGTGCTGACAAGCCCAGACACATGCATTCGAACCCACGATTACAGGCTCCTAACTCGCAAAGGGACTCAACTCTGCACAACACCTTAAACGACAGTGGTGCCGATGTCCCTCTGAACGTATGAATAAGTATGGTTCATACGATGGTTAAAAAAACAGGAAATGTTGGCTGCCTGTACGAGACACATTCAACCAGATCACACATTATAACCATTCGATACCCATTTTGCCCATAATGGTTTATGTTACAAACTGACCTGCTGAAATGATAGCCTGTCTCACAGTCCCTGCAATACATTATATTCCCTAATGCCTAGCCTTCCCTGCAATGCTAAAGCCCCTAAATGAAGCAAGTCTAGGTTTCCTCAGGTTTAGGGTGAATCTCCCATCTGACTAAGATTCCTTTTCAATTTAAATGGGTTTATTTGTTACTATCAAAATTATATATATTCAGGGACTAAGCGTTAGTCTACTGAAATGACCCCGAAAGCAAAAAGTACCCTGCCAAGATGCCAAGAGACCAGTGGGGATTAGGGGAAAGAAATGTTCCCCAGGACCCTGCGCGGGTCCGACTGAAAGAATCAGGTAGCCGGGCTGCGGAATTCGATTGGTACCATGTCAAAGTACACCGACGGTTTCATGAATAATTAAAACAGTGGTATAACACATCATATAGAATGTGTTAGACCGTGACATGCATTAAGTCGTCACCGAAGTAGAGTTTAATCTAAAATTATATTAACATACATAAACAACCTGTAGCAAATGACGCTAATTCAGATGACGCTAACTCAGTCTGAAATATATTTCCTTTGCTAAATGTATATTTGTTTAACACCCATTTCTACTTATTCTTCAATCACAAAAAGCTTTCCGTTTATAGCCCTGCGTTTCGAGGTGGGTGGTTGGTATGTAGTGACGTCAGTGTGTAACATGGCAAAAAATATGACAGATCACGATCGCGTCAGTATGACCTAAATGAACTGCAGTTGAAAAGGCGCGGGTGTTTGCGTAAACAGTTTAGAATATATGGAATGCCATTCTCTCGAACTCCTACCACCCACCCACCCCTCTGTGGTGCTACATGATCAGGTCCATTATCGTAGGGATTCATATACTGAATTTCATAATAGATTACAAATTATTAACAGGCTTTCTATTTTTTAAAGCGTGTTTCGTCAGGGTTGGAAGTCACAACAATGGCCATAATGCGACCTGGAAGGCTGTAGACTTGACAACACAGTTACCTTTCCTAACTTATCACCAGGTTCAATAATAGAGTAAAAGGCAAAACGATTTTCTGACTTACTTAATGAAGTACCTGGATATAGCTCCAATTGGCAAGGAAACCCTGTTTTCATACTGACGAGACTGCTTGTTACGCGGGATCAGAAATGTAAAATTGATATCACCTATTGTACTTGTAAAATTGAAATCACCTATTGCCTGTACTTTGACGGAGTCTATGTAAGTGGTTTGAGCCACTGTCGTTCAGCAATTAACACAACTCTTTGTAAAAGTATGAATGAAAGGTTACAATAGTAACTTTGGTCGATTTGTGAAACGGGCCCCATGTTCTGTTCGGGACCGAAACATAACGTCATCAAAGCTTGATAAAATGACCACAGGCGGCAGTGTGTTTTTCTCTTGGGTGAAATCAAGGCAGAAAATACGTAATTATTCGCCCAAGTGTCTCCGTAAATAATACCAGTAACCATAGAGACGAACTGGTTGTTGGATGTCGTCCTGCCCGACTTGAGAAGATACGTCATCCTTCCCTTGTCATTCTTCCTCTGTTCATGATATCGTCCATTGGTGTGTCTTGTCGCGTATTTCCTGACGCCCGGATGTAGCTGTACTATTGCCCTCGCTCAAACAAACTCCCGATCTTAGTCTATCTGTCTCACAATCCCCGAACCATCCTGCTTTCCCACCCACTCAGCCCTCACTGCTATGATTTAACCCTGGAAGAAGCAAAGTGTAAAGTGTACCATCTCACTGAAACTCTCTTTCAATTAAACATGCAGTAGCATGTTTATGTCAAAAATATACATTTTTAGAGATTAACCATTATTGTGTCCATACATCACTATACGGTTGTCGAGTAGACGTTGTTAGCTCTTGGAACCCGAACTAGGGCACTATTGCGATATATTATTGAAGGGACATAACTGCCTGTTTCGTTCATCCGTGAGAATTAACCAAGATTACCGGATTCAAGCTTTAGTGTCAACAGGCGACCCAATGGCGTTTGTTTGTGAGTCCAACTCCGTTATTTGGCTAGATTATCACCACAGCTTGTCAGAAAATCAATCAATTATTTAACCAGCATCTAATGAGTTATTACCCGTGAAGGTCCGGGTTAGAATATTGATCTTCAGTAACCCATGCTTTTCGTAAGAGGCGACTAACGGGATCGGGTGACTTGGTTGACACATGTCATCGGTTCCAATTACGCAGATCGATGCTCATGATGTTGATCCCTGGATTGTCTGGTTCAAAATTGATTATTAACAGACCGCCGCCATATAGCTGGGATATTGCTGAAGTCAGCGAGCCTGGCCACCCGATTCCGTTAGTCGCCCTTTACGACAAGCATCTACTGGTATGATGCGGCCGGTGATAGAACCCCGACCCTCTGCTCTTCCGGCGGCCACCCTGTCCACACAACCAGGTTGGCAGTCTTACGTGCGACAAAGGAAGGATGGCGGACAGAGCGATGTTCATCTGAATTCGTGTGTCACCTTACTTCAATTATCTGTGTATTCATGACTTGAAACTTGTCCAAGAGATTTGTTTGCGGTAGAATTTGAGAAAACATATAACAACACAGTTTCTTTGTAAACCATTTATTTGTAAATATGTCATGTAAAATGACCAAATATTACTTTTGAAATATTTTGATTCTTTACAACATCTAGTCGACACAACCACAAGCAATCATAAAGCGCTACATCTCTCAAACACTACCCCTGTCGGATCTCATCTTTCTAACAACACTCCTTTCGGACATCACATTACATCAAACATTCACCACCGACGTCAAACACAGAGCCGAACGCAGAGAGAGTTAAATGTCACAGAGACAAGGATATAATTCAGAGAAATCATTTTAGCAAAACACTGAACTGTAATAATAAGATATGAACCCTGATTCGTAATAACTTAAAATAGCTTTTACCGGTTGCTATAGCTACCAGTATACCAATCTCTGGCTGATGGGTTAACACAATTTTCTATATGTTTGACTATTCTCACAATTAATAAGATAGGCAGAGAATATATTACGTTATATTTAATCGTCTTTCAATGCAAACAATGGCGTACCAACAGAGAGATGACCTCATCTGGTTGAACCAAAAAGATCCAGTAGCGATGTGCCGTTATTACAGAATAACTGTTTAGGACTGCTTTTTATACCCAGTGGAAACTGGGCCCCGTTTCACAATGCGATCGCAGCGCTACGGCAGTCGTGAGATAATGTTGGATTAAGGGAATTACGATCACCTTAGCGCTACGACAGTCGTAAGACAATGTTGGATTAAGGGAATTACGATCACCTTAGCGCTACGACAGTCGTAAGTCAATGTTGGAGTGGTGGAATTACGATCACCTTAGCGCTATGACAGTCGTAAGGCAATGTTGGATTAAGGGAATTACGATCACCATAGCGTTCCGACAGTCGTAAGGCAATGTTGGATTAAGGGAATTACGATCACCATAGCGTTCCGACAGTCGTAAGGCAATGTTGGCTTAAGGGAATTACGATCGCCTTAGCGCTACGTCAGTCGTAAGGCAATGTTGGAGTGATGGAATTACGATCACCTTAGCGCTACGTCAGTCGTAAGACAAAGTTGGATTAAGGGAATTACGATCACCATAGCGTTACGACCGCTTCGTGGAACAGGGCAGTGTTACCGACGATAATCGAGACTGGTTATTCTCTGGCGTTGTAGCACAACAACCGGATAGTGCACATACAAACACATGCACATACACGCACATGCATGCACATTCATATTGCGATACTTCTACGAATCACCAAAAACAAAACCTGGTGTCAAGTGAACTTGATGACGGATTGGATTGTTTCTCAGAGACAACCAGCCAGTGAGATGTGACAACCAGCCAGTGAGATGTGACAACCAGCCAGTGAGATGTGATAACTAGCTATTGAGATGCATTAATTATTTACGGATAATCAACCACGTAATTACACATTTACATCTTAACAGTGAGTTCTCCATTAAATTCTTCCAGCGTCATGTACGAAATCCATGGTAAGTATACCACGCGAAAGTAAACAAATAACCATAAAACTGAAAGAAAATAAACCGTTAAGATAAGTTATTAGATGATGATGGAATCATTCTTTAAAAAGACATTTTTCAAAAATTGTGATTGTCCCTCTTCGTCAAATCCTAAAAATGACGGCACTAAACTGTTGCAGTGACATCAGTTCAGTTGCCATGACGACACATCAAATGCGGGACATGGAAAGCAGGACGAACAATGAGACAATAACATGGTATGTCTTCACATACTTAACAAGGTACCCTTGAAATTATCAACAACGATGAAAGAAATACATCAACAGTAATACCATAAAAAGTTTCGACACCTGAATCGCAGTTGGGCCGATCCACGGATTTGCAATAATAACATAAATTAAAAGTCATAAATTAAACATAATGCAAACACAGTTTTAAGTACTTTGTGTGGAAGATATACAGAATGAAAACGGCCGTTTTATTTTTCTGGGCCGGGTTTATTACGTCACCTTACTAGAGAATGTAGGCCGGAAGTGGTTCCAGGTCAAGGTCAAAGGTCGATCAAGGCGACGTTAGAATTGTAAGACAGTCGTTTTCAAACCAGTCAGAATTATGTCAGTTGGTCACGGAAGTCTAATCACAGAAATACACATATTTCCAAGGCAACAATAACATTTTGAAGCAGGTTGTTGTTTGTTCGATTATATTGTTCATATATATAACGATCACAGTAGGGTTCGGCCATTCTTCACGTCTATCTCACTGACACATTCACGTCTGATAACTGATTCAGGATGCTGCTCTCTCTCGCGGCCACCTTACTATAAGTCTGATGGCTTCTGACATACACAGATGGTATTTTACACAGATGATTGTCTTTGACCCTTTACTGTCAGGTTAAATTTCAGTTTTTTGTGATCTTTGACCTTCACCTTACTGTTAGGTCACATGCACACTTCCGCAGATCGTTGACCTTCATTTGCTGTCAGGTCACAGATGGCTTTGACCTTAACCTTATTGCCAGGTCACACATACACTCATGATGATCTTAATCCTTCCCCAGAATATTAAGTAATGTACTGTTTGTAACAAAGTTACACGCTTACACATTAATCGCAGCACTGAGGTCTTTCATATGCACGGATGCCCAATAAGTGTCCGTTATCACTTAAATATCAGTACAAATGAAGATGTCGCAATGATTATATATTATCCATGGAATTATATTTCCATGAAAGTGACAGCACCTTGATGCAGCATGGTAGGCTTCACAACAGCCATTGCGCCCGGGGAGTTGTGTCTGCCATAGCCAGGCGAATTTGGTTTGCCGTAGCGGTCGAACACAGAACTGGTTTTGGCGGCCTTCCTGAGCTGGTCAGTGTAAGCCTCGTTGCGTTCACCCTGCGCGTGGTGTGGTGTGTGGGCAGGTTTGGGAGGGGGCTCAGAGGCCGGGGTGTGGTACGTGGAGTATTGAGACACAGGAGTTGAGTGGTAGTGGGTGTTGTTGTGGCTGTGGTAGGGGGCGACCGAAGCCTGGGCCGGAGATGGATGGTCAGTGTACCTACTGCCCCGGTCAGGACGACTTGGGGGTGGTGCCTGAGGGTCCTCATACAGACCTAGATTCTTCCTCCGGGAGACAGGAGTAGACATGGACACCGGTTTACCCTGAAGCTCCGAGGCCCGACCCCCAGGGGTCTGCCAGGCGTTGTCATGCAACTGTCGAGACAGTCCTCCCTCGTCTCCAGGTTTTTTCTCAAACCTTTCGATGAGTGATGTGATGGACGGTGCGTGAGCGGGACCTCTTTGGTCACGGGGGTCAGGACGTTTGTCTGATGCCGGATGCGTAGGATGATGTGGGTCGGCTTGCTGGTGGGCGTGGTCATGAAGCTGCCTCTCCGGGAGGTTACCAGCACTGACACTCCTCCTTGAGTCCTTGTGAGATCGGCTGGGTCGGGGAGGGTCTGGGGTCATTTGTTTCTGCATGTTCTGGGTGGTGCCGTACCCCGGCGACACATACAGCTCACTCTTCTTCTGCAGGATGTGGCGGTAGTCGTCAGATGTAGTCGACTCCTGATGATGGTGCGACGTCACAACCGGTTCAGCTTGACCTCTCACCCCAGGGCCGTCAAACCGTGGGTCAAGTTTCGTCTGATTCTCATAGTTAGGAATCAGCTTGGCCTTGTATACAGGCACAGCTGTAGCTTTCACCCACTTGGAATCAACGTTGCTCAGATGTCCCACAGGCGCATCAGTGGCGTCCCCAGCACCCACAGGGGTCTGATCGTCGTGCGCTCGAGTATACGCGTCGGAAATACTGATGTTGCTCCCCAGAGCGATGGGTGCTCTGTCCCTGGTTCTGTAGGAGGAGCCGCTCTGGGGGGACACCTTGGCAGTGTTCTTGTTATTGTTCTCGTCACTAGCACCGGGATGGTCAGAGAAGGCGGACACGGGCTGCACGTGTCTCTGCCCTGACCCATGTCTGTCTCGGGCTGCACGGGCGACCTCATACTTGGAAGGAGACTGGTCCCTGCTGCGAATACTACTGAGAGTCGATTGCACGGACTGATGTCCAGAGTGCGTGGACGTCCTTGACACTGGGGACTCGTAATTGAAATTCTGATAGTCCCTGTTTAGCTTGTCCTGAAACGCTTGTATTGGATCGGGCGGTGCCTGGGAGTGACCACCATGACCTCTGGGTTCCTTTTCCCTCTTCTCCATCTCATGCCTCCTCTTCTCCTCATCCCTCCGCGCTCTCCTCCCATCCCTGTGCTTCCTCTCCGTGGATTCCTGATCCGACTGGACCCATCTGTCACGTGATACGTCCCGCTCCCTCCTCCCGCCCTCGTTCTCGGTGGTTTTCTTAGCACTATTACTGTTTGAAAATTTCTGCACCACGGTATTACGTAACTTCCCAAAAGGATTTCCGGAAGTTGTAGATTTAGGCTGTTGGCCTTGAGTCGTGCTCTGAGCCGCACTTTGCACCTGTTCGTCATCACTGCGTTGGTCTCTTTTCAACCACGATTTAAGAGAAAACGGCCCATTTTTCTTATGCTCCTGGGCTTGTGTTCCTGGAGTTAAGGTGGCACTTGGAACACTTCTCACATTGTTCATCCTTGCCTTGTTCAGAGATTCATAAGCCTGTTCCTGGTTCTCATAATTGGCAACATAGCGGGGCTGATTCTCATAGTTAGCACTTCGTTCTGCAGGAACAGGCTTCACAACCTGCTCCACAGTTTCAGGACTTGTCTTGTTGATGGCCAGGGGTTTGTGCACGTTAGGGGGCGTTGAAGTCATGGGCTTGGGGAAGGGGGAGTGACTCCTCTGCTGCTGGGACGTGTATTTCGCCACCTCCCTGTTGTCCTCACCCTCGCGTGGCGGAGGAGGTCGGTCAGGCTTCATCTCCTGGGTGTACTTCCCCACAGACTCAATCCAGTTGTTAATGTGCTTCAGCTGCTGCGCCCGGTTAGTCTTCATGTCTTTATCATCGTTCAACACGGAGAGATGCTTCAGCATCTTGGACTTGACGCTGCTGAATCCCTGGCCTGAGGACGACGACTGCAAAAGAAGATGGGGATGAATGAGTGGATGCTGCTAATGTTGAGGGGAAAGGTTCTCAGCGGTGTACGTCGGAATGTAAATAATAACATTTGGACTCGACAAAACACTGACTGAATATCCCAAATGCGTAGATCAGTGTTCATGTTGTCAATCACTGGATTGTCTGGTCCAGACTCAATTATTTACATTGCTGTGATTGGTGTTAAACAACAAACAAAACTGAATAGCATGAGCAACGTTCTATGCTGTCGGGGAATAAATACAAAAATAAAATCATCATCAATATCAATTTGTGAACATCATCATGACTGGTTCAGAAGAAGCCTCAGTAAGGTACTTAGTTAGGGATCCTGGTAAAATCACTGGTGTGAATATGAATTGTGTGCTTTATTTAAGGAGGTATCTAGATATCTGTTCCCCGTCTCCCACGTGGGCCCCAGGTACCACTCACCAACTGACTCTTGGACCTGAACTCCAGTTCGAACTTGTTCCTGGCCAGGTTTCGATGGGCCAGCTTCCAGTAGTACTTGCAGTCGTGGAGGAAAGTTGCCCAGATTTGGAAGAACTCGTGCGGTGTGCACTGAAACAGAACAGGTCGTTGTAACCTAAACATCCGCCATCGTGTGGTCCAGTAATTCAAATATTTAAGCATATTTGCCGCGTGGATGAAATAACATCTATGAGGTTTCTCGTACCTTTCTGTTGTCATGGAGGAAGTAGGCGGTTGTCTTCAGGAATCTATTCCTGCTGTCCTCCAGCACACGCTCCTGCTCGAACACCACCTCCAGGGCTGGAACAACGAGAGGAACTAGAGAAAGTAGCCAGAGACTCAATTCATTAGCCTTCAGTTACCATTAGTTACACGTTTCATACCACGTGTCGGTTCTTCAGTAGTCCAGTGGCTTTAGCCCGACAGCGTGCTGCTCAGAGTTGTCTCCCTTATATTTCCAGATCATTGTAATCCTAGATTTTCTGTTTATGACCTTCGTTTTACCATTGCAAAACAGTGCTTGAACAAAATGGTACATCACCATCGATTGGGTTTTATTCCTGACTAAATATCAACGTTTGGATACAATACCTAGAACCTACATTTAACATTGTCTCATGCCTAGCTTATGAGAATTCAGGTAAAACTTCAGGTATCACAGACATGTATTTGTATAGTGTTACACACTACCTACCACATGTGGCGAAGTTGTCGCTGTTGACTCTCAGTGTCTGGGTCAGGTTGCTGCTCTCTCTCTTCGACAGCGACTCGATCTGGGAGAGAAAGTGAAATTTTGTCCACGTATTGTGATTGTTGTGCTGATTGAGCTGTCCTTCACTATATTCATCAACATCTTCACATACGTGTCATGCAAAGTCAAACAAGTGTCCTTAATGATAAATAGCAGATCGATAGCATACGACGCGTTAATACGCGCTTCAAAATAGCAGATCAACAGTATAGGACGCGATAATACATGCTGCAAAATAGCAGATCAATAGCAGAAGACGCGATAATACGCGCTGCAGAGTAGTGCCCCTTGAGCGCGCCAGCCATCTCGCCCTGATCGTGTTTCCAGCTTGTCTGGACCATAACGCTCTTGTATAAAGCAAGATGTCTCACAAAAGCGATACAAGTGGAAAGCATCTGATACCTGCATCTTTTCAGGATTCACTCCCACATCAAGATGACATGACGTGATATAACTGAAATAATATCCGAGGCGCAATGAACCAGATAACTGCCTGTAACACTCTAACTTACCCTCTCTCTGATGGCGTTCACCTCCCCACGCAGATCGCCCAGTACCCGGTGCATCTCATCAAACGACACCTGCAATACCATCATCAACATAAAAAATCACACACGGTAACAGTTTTTTAACAATGAATGGACAGTTTACAAATGGATGTTATTACCGTTGGGAGTACACCAAGTGATACACAATGACTTATATCTCAAGTGAATAAGTGAGTGATTATTGTTTTACGCCGCATTAGCAATGTTCCAACTATTCCAGTGTCCAATGGATATTGTGGGATCATAGGAACAGTCGTTGACTCAGCAGGAGAGAAACGTGAAAGAAGATAATAAAGGGATAAGCTAACCATCGTATGAATGATTGCGAAGCTTTCACATGGCCTAACCAAAGCTAAACAGCCTATTGTACTGTATGTGGTTGGCAAAGTTACCTGTGCAGCGTGCCTCATGTTGGAAGGTTCTGGTAACCTAAACCGGGTCGGGCATCCAAGGTCAAGGTCGTTCTCGTAGTGTTGCACATACGTCTTCATGACGAACTCCAGCAGATTGCCGCGCCGCGTCTGAACAGTCCACACAATTAGAACATGCATACTTACTTCAGCATTTGATGGCATTTATTGCAAATCTGGCAAATATATAATGTGTGCAGCACTGGCGCAATAACTAACACGAACTGAAGTATCAACCATCAAATTTGACATCCTACGACATTATTGGATCCGTAACTGACACCTCTGGGGATGCAACTATCAAATGCTTTCTAAAGCCCTTATATTCTATGATCCCGTAGGCCAATGAACGAGGCGATAAGGGATCGATCCTTTTTGGGGGAAAAATTAAACCTTACTGTTGTTTTTGTATGCTTGATAGCCAAAACAAAATGTATGAAACATGTTCTACACTTTAAGAAAATACTCTGATTGGAAGCAGTAACCGAAATAAAAAAATATATTGTCAAGAAAAACATATTCCAAACCCTAAGCAGTATATGAAATGGTTGGTCCCTTGTGTAAGGTGCGGTGTACGATAAGTCGGGCACTGGGCCCATGTAGTTCTACCCTGTCGGTGGAGTCCTTCAGCTTGGTCAGGATATCCAGTGTGAAACCATCCGCCTGGCCTCGCTCCAAACTGCCGCCGTTCAGGTAGTTGCCGACAGCCAGCAGCGTCTCCAGGAGGTTCTTCAGGGCAACGCTGTATGAGAGGGAGAAAACAAAAAATGTTTAAAACGTGAATATACATCGGTTATTGTTGTTTATATTATACATTATCCATCCTCACAAATATATTCTGATTTGAGATTACTAATTACTGATTGTACTGAGAATCAACAGTTTTGGGTACCTGCTTGTAATCTCATCACATGCAGTGTTCAGCTCTCGCAGCTGCTGATCTGAAACAGGAAGAAATCGGTTTCACAATATGTTTTATTTTTCTACAGAAAATGCACATCTCGACTCTTTCCACCAGCATCATGCGGACACATGGTGACGTAACTCAAATACTGTTTAATAGCGGGATTGTAACAACATCACTCATTGACAAGCTCGTCTGAAGTTTTTTCGGAAAAAGCCGTTGGTCTCCTACCCAGGCCGCCCTTTCCCCAAACGCAGCCTGACGCTCCACATTTAACTGACTGACTGGCTAAGTGTGGTTTTAGGCCGTTTTAGCAATATTCCAAACATCACGGTGGGGGACACCAGGAATGGGCTCCACTTGTAACAGGTAGAACAACACTACCGAGCGGCTTCAACAGCCAGTAATGTCTTTTCACCATTCCCTTTTAACAGACACAACACATGAGGATATTCAGTACATACCAATCTCGAATAAGTTGACCTGCAGTCTGTGTTTGAATCTCAGGAAGTCGATCCGCTCACGGAAGTGGTCCACCTTCGACAGCTCAAACACCAGGTACTCCGGGCAGTCAAGGTTACCTGTAAGTATATTAAAGGTGTCAGCGAAAACAGAGGAGGCAAATCAAAGCAATCAGCAAACTGACAAGACACAGGATTGTTGCAGGTTCTTTTCGTGTACACGTAAAGTGTAAAGTTTGATAGTAAGCATCAAAAGCATGGAGTATTCAATACCTATACCATACATCAAGATGTGAGAACATTCGCTTTGCCTCTTCCTAGTTTCATTGTTGAATATTGTCAACATGGAACTAGAGTCGTTATCAACGTATTTCAACTTCGATCTTCAATAGAGATTACAATCCGACACTTCTAAAGTTGCTACATCTCCCTGTATAAAAAGATCTATTTAGGGTAACAGCCTGGTTACTTACTCGCTCCTTTGCGCTTGATGTGGTGGAGGATCTTGTCCAGCTCGCGAGGCGTGTGAATTAACTCCAGCAGATCGGCCATCCTGCGGGAAAAACAAATGAAGCTCTCGTAAAATACCGCTAAGAGTCCAGTCATTGTTATGCATAACGGGGAGAGTCGGTGAGTGAGTGAAACACAGCAGTATTTCCGTTAGATCGCGACGTGTCAAGGTAGGACGAGAACCCGAAATAACATTCCCCAGTTCAGTTAAACGAGTACGAGTATAGTGGTGATAAACCTAGAAACAATCATTGCCCATGGTTCCTGGTGATTCCAACTCTGCAGAACAACATCCAGCGCCTTAGATGATCGACAACCTGTGCTCCTTTGTAATGTACAAGCTTCATTTGTCATAGACCAACACTTGTTCAAATTTTTGTAGTTCACTTTTTCAAAAGAACATTTCCTCCTCTTGTGCTAAATTTGATCAAGACTTGCGTAGGCTTGAGTACAAAACGAGGGTAAAATATACGTTCCACGACCACAGCGAAGGGCTATACTGGTCTTTGATTGGTGTAGCTTATAGTGCTAAAGACATATTTAAGACAAAACCAAGAAATTTTACCCGTCTTTGTGAAGCGACGACATGTCCAGGGATGACATCGCCTGTATGACGTCATTGAGAGTGTGACGTAGTTTCTTCATCTCTAACGTCACGCGCTGGGATTTATCACTATCGAATATACCCACAGGCTGAAACACGAATTAATTATTGAATATATTTGTAAGACCAACAGGAGTTTGTAAAGATATAATTGAGATCAAGGCTGTCGAGCCAAATTCAACCATTTATATTAACAGATTTTAACTACTAGAAAAATAAAACAGATTTCAGGAATGAAACTGCTGTGGAAAGAGCGACTGTTATACCACATAACATATATATGTTCCTTCGCAAAGGGTTTCGGTTTTTCCTCAACGATAGTTTAACGTGCAACTCAACCCTCATCAATAAAACAACATATACAACGCACCTGCTGCTTTGGGCGACCTCTCCGGAAGTAGATGTCATCGTATAGTGTGACGTCATCAGATGATGACGGATCTCCGGTCTTGGAAAATAATCTGACAAAAGATAGAAAGCATGTTATTTTAATAAATTAAAACAATAAACCATGATTGAGTCAACGCTATCCGACATCACGTATGTCATTGCATTGAATGTTTAATTTTAATGGAATTTCGCTGAAGGTTACTAAACATTCATTCATGCAAATAAATTTTCAAATATATAACAAATAGGAATTCAAGGAAGTATGTTTTTTTACATGCTAATATGTCGAAGTTAATTTTATACAGTTGACCCTTTATGATTAGCTGTACATGTTTTCAGTTGAGGTCACATCATAGTGAGACGTTAACCTCTAGTGTGACGTTGCTGCTGTTTATGTCAACAATGACGTCGTTCAGGTGGATTACGTCAAACGTTCTTGAGAGCAGCCCGCATCTAACACAATAAATCCCCCTAAATAGGGCCCTGATAGTCCGGACATTCGTCCTCCTAGACAACTGTTGTAGTAATGTGTGCTTATGTTCATCAAATTGGTTAAAACGGATCATTTAATTTAGAAGGTGCGGAGGCCACGAGCTCAACACTTTATAGATGATAAGTACCTCTCTATGTCCTCTGTATCCAGTTTGGGTTCCAGCATGCTGTGCCACACCGTGCCTGACTCGGATCCTGCATACAGACAACGGTTGACAATATGGGACAAGTCTTTGATGATTACCAGACGTTGAAATATCGTTTCAGTACTATTTGCTTTGCATAAAAAGAGTAACCTGCACATGGGATTTGTTGGACAAACTTTAAGATACTGATTCAACTCAGACGTGAATGGATGGATTGAAACACTTAGTCTACGAAGCAAAACAAAAATTTGAAGACATCTATCCGTATATACAAGTTACAATAAACAGAAGCCCAGGTAATTGGATATGTGTAGGGTTGCCAAAGTGCTGTATCCTTACTGGGGATGTATGTACACTATTGTTTCGGTGTCTTATGGAGACTGAAGTAGTACCAAAGGACCCGTGACGATCAAGGGTTAGATTTTGTCTTCAGCAACCCATCCTTGTCGTAAGTGGCTACTAACGGGATCGGGTGGTCAGGCTCACTGACGTGGTTGCCACATGTCATCGTATCCCAACTGGGTAGATCGATGCTCATGATGTTGATCACTGGATTGTCTGGTCCAGACTAGATTATTTACAGACTCCCGCCATATAGCTGGAATATTGCTGAGGGCGGCGTTAAACAACAAACAAACAAACAAACCCTACAAAAGGACCCAAAGTGTAATTACGGTTTTAGCCCGGCAGAGATAGAAAGTTGCGAGATACTCACCAACATCTGTCAGTATGATGCGATGCCAGTGAAGTGGCTTCATCTTAACTTGAGGATGGATGATGGGTTTGTTCGGATACACTTTGTTACCCCGACTGGGCCTTGGGGGTAGGGAAGGGGGGATCTCCCCATCTTGCAGCAACGCCACGGCCTGTTTCCTCTCCTCCTCCAACTTCGTTCCTGCAACATCAGCAACAGTTAATGATACAGAGAGAGCTGTCACAACATGTCCAACAGCAACACTGATCACCCCAGCTGCCACACCACTAAACACCAGGTGCAGATGCTGCTGTGGGACGTACGGAAAATAATTTGATATATCGCAAGCAAGTCATTACAATAATAAAGCATATCCGCACAGGAATCACGGGATTCCAGTAAACCATTCATCGGAAGACATACATAAACTTTCCCATGAAAAGCCAAAAAATAGATGTGCAGAGTTGTCAAGTTTCTGTCATTCCAACATGTTGATTACCGACAATGTCGCCTGCACCATGCGCGGCTGCCGTCCCAGATGTTGCAAGGGGTCAGGCAAGGACGCCAGCTGCTGTCCATACTCTTTCATAATATGCATTATATGTGCCAACAAACAAACACTTCATTCACGTTCATTGTCTAGGGGCAAAATGCTACGTATAATCTTTTTAGGATTTCCAAATACCATTTATATCGATTCTCAAGAACACGTGCCTTTGTATACATGAATGTATTGACGTTGAAAAATACACGATAAAACAGCGGTGCAAAATAATAGGAAATATGATTGGCAAGTATGAAACATATATTCATCTCATTAGCATAACTAAACAGTCCAAGCAGGAACACAAACTAATTAATCAGGAAGTCTACAAAAGGTTGTTATGAATACTAAAGGGATGTGTAGTAGAAGCAGGCTTGACAATTAACTATAGGCATATGAAAACACATTTTCCTGTTTAACATTTTTTTTGTAGAATGTTTACAGCCTCCCTGGGTTATATGATGTTCAAACATTTTTACACCAATACCGTAGAAGAATAATTTGTCCCTTGTAATCTACATACCAGGTGGTAGGTTCATCGTGTTGTCGGATATAATTAGATCTGATGCAAGTCAACATACTGACCTTAGGCTTGGGGCGATTCCTTAAAATATATTCCCTGTGCTGCGTCTTTAATATGTCGGTTAAAACCGCGTGACGACACAGCTACAATCACCGAACGCCTCTACAGCGATACGGCTCGAGCCTCGCTACACACTAGGTTACCGGTAGGGAAACGACACAAAATGTTCATCATTACCAGCGTATACCTTAACGACGAGACAAAGCGATGAGCTGCCACCTCCCCCTCCCATCTCCCTTGGGAAGGTATCTGGGTGAGGACCTGACCCTGTCAGGGGTTGGGAGCGTGATGAATGGGAGGAGATAGGCGATCCAGCATCTCTGATAAACACCGCTTCACCACGTAACATTACCTTCCCCCTGAGCGTGGTGCACACATCGCCGTACCTTCACGCCACTGCTGGAGATGATTGTTCCACTAACCCGAAATTACGTACAATACATTTTACTGCGCTTTTTATGGGCTGATGTGGCCCTTTGACATTCTTAACCTGTGACAGTAGGGATGTAGGACACGGGTCAACCCCCGCGTGTCTGTTTGGGCATCTGGACGACTCTGTCTTGGCAATTAATGTTGTGTCAGAACCTTTGACTTTACTCGGCTAAACATTTCGCTCCTGCGCTCCTTTTCAGGGCACAAAACAAGACATGTACATCAGACCACATTATCACTAACAGCCAAATCACTGTCGGGGAGTCGATTATTTAGTCCTTGTAGAACCGGCAATACAATTGAGCGCTACGTCTGCAGAAACCTGCTCACTGGGAAATAGCTGAATCAGCTACATCAGCCCATTGTCCTTTCCTAATTGAGACGTGGGACTGCTGTGAGTATCACTAACATAAGGATAGTTTACTATCCAGCAAGCAACTCCCGATGCCTTACTCCACAAAAACCACTAGAAAAGACTCTCTCCTTGCTTCTTGTAACTGGTATACATATAAGGTAATGTTCAAACAATAACAGTCTGAGACAATTTCCTCTCCCTGCAAGTGACAAGCTGCCCCAGAACCGCCCATTGGTGAACTACCCACAAACTGACTCATGAATTACATCTGGAGCTCCAGCAGCAGTATCTGGGATGACCATCTCCCCACAGTCAATGGTTCGCTAACACATCCACCCCAAATACATTCAGACCAATATAGGATTACGCCGCGTTACGTACGAATCGTGTCCAGGTACTAACTTCCATTAATTACGCGACCAGCTGACGCTCAAACATTAAACGAAATCAGAGATATGAATTTGCCAATCACCCAACTCTGAATGTCTCAGCTGAAGCGGCAGCCTCACTTCAAAGGCCTCTCATATATACATTATAAGAAACAGCCCACTGTCAAACAATCCAAGCCCAGCATTAAGCTCGTGGATAACAAAGGTGGTCCTATAGTCTCTTTTGGGAGACTGGCGTAATCTCAGCGTTATGATAATGGCGGTATATAACTCGGGGGCAGGTAAAAGTAACACCCGACTGTTATCTGGCCGCGCACGTAGACTGGCGTTCCCCGCATAGATCAGTTGGAGGTATTTCCTGTGAGGGGGGCGACAAAGGTGTCACTTTCATGAAAACATTAGGTTTGAATTTCGCTAGACAGTAATGGGTGTATAGGCGGGGAAACATATGGTAATAAGCGCTCTATCTCAGTATATGTTGTCTCAGGTCCTGTCTGTTTGAAGGGTCATAAAAGTTGAAAAGGAAATTCAATATTGTTTCAGGCCGACAAACTGCAGTAAATGAGAGCCATGAAGGTATTCTACTAAAGACGGTACGTTACAATTTGCTTTGACCGTCAGTGGGATATATCTAACTCAGTCTGGGCGTCCTCAGAGGGTCATACGGACAATTGGGACTATTTGTCGGGTCAGGTACATTAATATATACTGTATAAATAGAAACATTTTATATTACTGACTCAAAGCTTTCCTCACAGTCACTGTAATCGTCTGATATTCAATTAGTGACCTTCAACGATGGGAGGTAACTCGTATGGGTTTCCAACAGAATGGGATAGAAGTACTCCTTGCTCCGCCGTGACTCGTGAGAAAGGACCAAATATAGGATTGGATGGTTATGTCCGACCTCCTGGCTGACTTTGTGTTGAATTTAATGTCTTTGATGATTAGCATAGTGAAAATGACTATCATACAACATGACATTGAAGGACAGGTTATTCCACTTGTTCATATGTTCACATACATCACACATACCAATATAGGTTGGCAGATTTGGATCTAAAAGGATTAAACCCCACATATTTAACAATTTCCGATGTCATATATTAATTGACCTGGACTTAGCCTGACCAACCCAGTAGGGCAACACATTCAATATAGATTTGGACTTAACGTTATGTTGAGCTAACTTGGCCTGGAGGTTCCCACAGGATTAGAACCACCATGTAGACAATAGAAACCAGTCATACATTTAGAGCAGTACGGATTCGGCCTGGTCAGTACAACAAGGTCAGAAAAATATAAATGACAGACTTACCAATGTTGGGCAAGCTGGCCTGAGGTTTCTACGGGATTAGAACTTCCATGCACATAAAATCTACCAGTGACACATTTAAAGCAATAATATTCTGATTCAGCCTGGTCCGTAAAATAAAAACATATACCAATGTCAGACATACCGATGATGTTGAGTAGGCTGGCCTTGGCAGGGAGGATCCCATAGGGTGATGACTTGGTGCTAGAGTTCTCCAGCATCTCTGCAATCGACCTCAACTCGTGCATCTTTGCCATCAGCTTGTTGATCCTCTCCTCGTACGTCCGTAGGATGTGCTGATGTTCCTTCTTCATCCTCTTCATTTCCTCGATCAGCTGCTTCTCATTGTCCGAGTACGAGTAGCTGGGCTCAACCCAGCGTCTCTGAGACTCGCCACTCTCCACAGTGCCACCCGAAGATGTGTGGCTATTTATAGTGCCGGGGATTCCCGGCGTCATTTCATAGTCTATTGCCGCCATTTCTGTTTTCTCCGGAATCCGTTCTTCCGGAATTGCGGAGTGCTCCCTTGTCGACGCCATTGGGTGAATGTACTTGTAGGCGTTCCTATCTCGCAGTTTGAAGTATGTCTGGGTATCTACTGAACTATCTGTAGAACACGTGCTCTCTCGTTTTACCCCTGTATCCCAGGTATTGGGAGGATATCGCTGAATCTCGTGTTTCTTTCCGTGACTAGCTTCCGGGAAGTCTCGTTCAAGCTCCCGTATAAAGTTATTGAAAGACGTCACGATATTATAATCATCAACCCGATGTAGCACTTTATATTTAACGTCTTCGATAAGTTTAAAGTCCAACCTGTCCCGAGGTTCTTTTTGAACAACACTGTATCCTGGCGTCTGATTGGCCGGATAGGATGACGTCATTATAGAAGCATGTTGCCGCTTGATGACCTCATCATCTTGCCACATGAACAACTGAGGAGAATCCTCGAACGTCCTCGCGCCAAAGATGCTTCTGATGAGACCCTCCTTGAACAGGCGTTTGGAGAACTTGACGGCCACAGCCCTTGTTCTGAAGCGCCTGGGGTAATGTTCCAGAAGCGTGGACACTAGCACACACCCCTTAAACACGTTCCGGTCCCTGCCCACTCGGGGCCGACCCCAGTCCATCTGAAACAGACATAACAAAATCAGCAATAGGTAGACAGTGGAATCTTAATGTTACAAATCGGCGAACGTCATGGCCGATTTCCAGGCTTGTTTAATTTAACAATGAGTGAGTGAGTTTTACGCCGCTTTTAACAATACCCAAGCAATATCCCGAGGGGGGAACACAAGAAATGGGCTTCAGGCATTGTACCCATGTTGATAATCGAACCCGGGTCCTCGCTTTAACCACTTGAATACCCCACCGCCCCCTTTACTTTAACACTAGCTGACGACACTAATTTGAATCTTGTCCCTATTTCAGAAAATATAGTCACATATGGGTTCCATACAACCGAAACAGTAGTCGTACCTCGTGAGCAAAAGACGAATACAACAGAAAGCTCCATGACAGTGCCAAGTCCTAAAGTACGGTATTGTCGGACAACGGTCGCTAGTCACTATTCACATGCTTGTGTCTTTGTGAGTAATACCATCACTGTAACTCCCTGCACTGGTGCCCAACAACCTGGTATGTACACTTAATATAATCCTTCAGGTACACTGAGCTGGGCAGATAGGCTCGTATACCTAGTGAGTGGATGTATGTCACAGTGCTGTCAGAAACAGCGCACTTGAACCTACACGTTTGCAGGACGGTCGAATCAATGAAAGATCGTACAACGGTATAGGATTTCTTTAATAACTGCCTCAGATCGGTCGATTCGTCGAAAATTACTTCGTAGGTTTCATTGTAGGTTAATCCAGGCATGGTTTAATGGCAGGGTCAACCCTGGTTGAAGGACTGTTTTTTAAAAGATCGAAAAGCCCTTGACGATACTGTGCAGTTGCTTAAGATGTGTCTGGATGGAGTACCTTTCTTTGGTACTGCAACAACGGATGAAGAGGACATTGATCGCGGGAGAATGTAATGACACGTAAGTGCTTCATGACATCGTGTGTAGACTCGGATATAGATCTTGAGTATGCTACAGGCGTGTGTGTGAAGAGCATGCAGGTTTGGTAGCCCCGGATGAAGATGCTTCGAGTGAGTGTTGTTTCATGCAGTGTTCATAGATTTATCAGACACTTGTGACACTAACAGAAGATTGAGAGAAATATACGGCTATACCACGTTTCAGGCAAGTCCAAATCAGGCATCAGGAAGGTGCCAATCAGGAACCAGAAAGGTGCCAATCAAGCTCAGAAAGGTTCCAATCAGGCACAGAAAGGTTCCAATCAGGCATCAGAAAGGTCCCAGGTACGATGTCAGTTAGTTTAGGTGAGGTCTCGGTTATGAACAGTCCACATCCTGCCTACACACTGCCTTCATTGCAGCCTACACGCTGTCTTCATCCAGCCTACAGTGCAGCCTAGATTCTGTCTACATCCAACAGACACGCTTCCTACAACCAGCCTACATACCGCCTACACGCTACCTATATCCAGCCTACATTACATCCCACATGCTGCCTTTATCCAGCCCACACGTTGTCTTCGTGCAGCCTATATTGCAGCCTACACGCTGTCTTCGTGCAGCCTACATCCAGCCTACATTGCAGCCTACACGCTGTCTTCGTGCAGCCTACATCGCAGCCTACACGCTGTCTTCGTGCAGCCTACATCGCAGCCTACTTCCAGGTCATATTTGTAGCGAGCGAACACAAACCACACACCTATCAAACGTACCACAGACATACACTTCGTTGTGTAACTAATATCTTCTAGCAGTATTTTCATGACCATGAGCTTATCGAAACTATGTACATGTCGACTTCGGTGCACGTCTGTCAGAATTGCCATTACCAACATCAGACACCAAACGTATAATTTCCGCCATTGTTTTCGGGTTATTAACCATGATCAATGACTCGTTCCTTTCAATGTACGATAATGGAAAGCAAATATCCGCATATACAAATCCCTGTGTGCCGCAGAGTGTCTGACTCCCCGGAGAACACTAAATGCGTCATGTGATGCATATCAAGCAGATCCTACCGCACACCACCAGGGTCAGGGTCATTACGTGAAATCTGATCTAACTCTCGATCATCCAATCACCACTGCTTACAGCGGGCGGATTAGCGGGGTAATTGACGCTGAAGCGACACCTAGCGGTCGGGTTGTAAACTCGCGATCAGACCTTGACAGGTGCCTTGCATTAAGGAATTAGACGCGCATACTTGTGTGTATGTCGCTGCAACCATGTTTTGTTAACGTTAATCGAGTGTTGCTTTCACTCCATGGGATGGCATATTACTTATCATTACGAAACATGTCATACAACCTGTTTGTGTGTTTGAAGCATTTTAGTATAAGGTTCATTCTAAAAATAAGTCAAAATCCATTCTCGTTGAAAGAAGCAATGTTTTTATCAACAAAATCAGAACTTTATTCCGTTATGAGTAACACAACAGTAGTGATAAAGTCCAGGTTTGTCAGTACAATATCCGTGAAGGTGGGTTTCACTAGTGTGGCAAACAAAGACAAATACCACCTCAGGTGATTCTCCCACACCAGACTAAACACCAGACCAAACATCAAACTAAACACCTCACAAAACATCAGGTCAAACATCAAACTAAACACCACACAAAACATCAGGTCAAACATCAAACTAAACACCACACAAAACATCAGGCCAAACATCAAACTAAACACCACACAAAACATCAGGCCAAACATCAGCAAATATGTCCAAGAAAGCCCACACAAGTCTAGAAAATGTGGCAAGTATAGATTTCCACAGCTTCAGGAAATGAAGAAAGTCTCAGGGCTCCTTTTCATTATATTTTTTTTTCTTTCTGTAAAATGTGTTCATTTCAAAGACTAGTTGTTAGCCTAACATCAAACCAAACATCAGACCTAACACCAGACTAAACTTGAGTGAGTGAGTTGGTTGGTATTTGAGCAGTGTTCCAGGTATATATCACGGCGTGGCAGCTTTATGTGGGAATACAGCCTGACATGATGCAGTTCTCAGACATTTACCACTTTGGTGTCACCCTCGAGCCCGGCTGTGGTGCAGACAAACCTTAAAACATATGCTGGATTAACAGAGATTCGAACTCCCGATCACGGGTCTCAGTTCTGCATACCCATAGTTCAAGGACCAAAATTATGTTTGCGCGGGCGTTATATGAATGTAGAAATAGGGTTTTAATCGTGAAATACGCAAACATATCATTACACAATATGAATGAATCTTAGATAGCTCAAAATATAATGCATCTGTATTAAGTTGAGATAACCCGAACCAAACACACCGCCCCAAGATCACGACCGGGTTGTGTTTGTTTGTGATGGTACACACGAGACGTGGATGACATTCCACCAGAACAAAGGTATTTCTAACAAGGAAAGATAAAATGTTTATTCACACGGTTCTTGTGAGATGGGGAATGCACAACCCGATAGCTAGGGTAACACGCGGCACAGGGGTCGATGACACAGCCATTGATGGAGCAAAATGAGCGGGAAACTGATACGAGTCCATTAAGAAATGCCCATTGATGTCTGTAAGTTTTCAAGAAGTTCGACGAGTAAACTGTCTCTATGACTGTTACGTTGAGAGCACACGTCGGTGAAGATGAACACATAGTCAACGAAATATTTTAATGCCCAATCCATTTTCCTGTCGGGTAATGTATTATAGAGCTGGCTAGACTATTTTGATAAATAAATACATATACTGAGGGAAGAAAATAAGGGATCACATGAAAGCACTAGTGTTCCTTTATTTTTTTCCAGGTTTCTTCACAATCTATGCGATACAAAGCTTGTGAAAAAACCTTGGAAAAAATAAAGGAACACTAGTGCTTTCATGTGATCCCTTAATTTTTTCTCTCAGTATATTTTCCGGTCATGATGTAGGACTAACATCGGTAGAGAATTGTAAATGGAATTTCAAACAAAGGACGTCTCCACATTATATTAAAGTTCTTGTTTTGGATGACTCTGACTTGATTATATCAAGGCTCAGTGATATTACTGATGTAGATGAAATGGTGTGGGTTCCATAACCTGTTCGCCCTGGTTCTGTGTTCAGGTTTGTCAGAGTGGTGAACACCTAAACCCCGCACCACCATCTTCCTGCATCAAGTCGATATGCCGTCATATAACGTAAGTGCCGTTAAAGACGGCGTCAAAACATCGCACACACTGTTATTGCAAGCGAATGGTGTTTAACACCACCGTAGGCACAATGACAGCACATCCATGATGGCCTATAAGCAACTTAGTCTGGACCGGGAAAACCAGTGGTTGAAAGTATGAGCAGCGTCAGGGTACAATGACGCGAACCTGACAGTCAGGGTGCAATGACGCGAACCTGACAACCGATGGCCACATCTTCGACAAGCAGGACGTACGGGTCACTGTTACACAAGACACCCTTAACGCTACAATGCTCGCAATCCCATGAGTATGGGAGATTCGGTCACCTTAGCACTAAGAAGGTCTTGTGAGACGGGACACAGGTGATCTTTGTTGAATCACCAGGGATTTCTCCATGGGTTCCTGTAACCCTGAAAAGGTCGTTTCTCCTATATCCATATAACATTCACGCGATATTATGATCATACGGTAATCATTTATCACAATGTTACAGTGGGTAAGGATGGGTAAGGTCGACCACCCAAATGCCTGACCGTCATTGACAACTACTGACATAAATCCCCTAGGACATAAACTACCGTGCTAATTGGACTTATGTACACGCAACGCCACGGGGCCTGGAACATGATGTAGATATCAATTGTGGCACTTTTGATGTTCTGAAGACGACCACAGCCATCTTTCATCATCCGTCTGCTTTAATTACACCACTTATATCCAGTCAGCATAGACACAGTCTTGAATGTATTGGCTGAATGTCTGATATATGGCTCTTTATGACGTCGGGAGACATTGATGTGCAGACGTTAAAATGGCTGTATTCATCCGTGATGGTCCGTGTCGGGTAGCAATTACACTGTGTTAGCGTCATATTTGACCTACATTGTCACGCCAAGATGACCTTGCGT